TATATACATATATATAACTAAAATGTGTTTACTTTTTAACAAGTAAAACTATATACACACACACATATACATATATATACACACACACATACATATATATGTATACATACATCCATGTACATATATGTATATGTATATATATGTATATATATGTATATATATGTATATACATATATATGTATACACACCCATGTATATACATATATATGTGTATATATATGTATATGTATACATATATGTAAATGTATATCTATATGTGTATATATATGTATATATGTGTGTGTGTATATATACATACATTTATATATGTAGATACCATCAGCTCAATATTGAAATAACAGTACTGAAAATAAATTACCTCAGATAACCTCAGGTGAGAAATGAGAAGGAGAAATGTTCTAGAATGGTAATAGAGTAGTAGAATGGTTCATGTTCCTAGAAAACATGAACCACAAGAGACAGTTTAAAGTATCTTTGTACACACAAAAAAATGATATTTATATAAAGTAATACCAATATAAAATCTGTTGTACTACAAAAACAGTCTTATTCTCTTATTCTTTCCCAAAGAGTGCTTTTTAAATTTTTGCTGAATAGAAAAATACCTCGTCTAGGCAATAGACAGTAAAAAGAAAAAAAACACTGGGCTAAGAGAGAAGAGACAGTTCCCACCTGAGGCCTTACTCTGTCATCACTGTGCAGCTCACACAACAAAATAATTTGGATTTTCATTACTTAGGTATGGTGATCTTGCTGCAGCAACATCATGTGCTGCATATAACTCTAGTCACTTTTTTCAGTGGCAGTTGAATTAGTTTTAACATTTTAATAGATTTTTAAATTTTTTTGTTTATTATTATTATTATTATTATTATTATTATTATTATTATTATTATTATTATTATTTAGAATCAGGTACAAACCCACCAGCATTTGACAACTGGTCTTGTTGCTCACAATTGATAACAAAATAGAAACACTTTCCACCAATCCTATACAATATTTGGGGGCAAGCCCCAACAGAAATGCTGTAAGGCTTTACCTGTCACACACCCTGTTGATTTTTCACCACAGCACAACTTCAGTGGGTTCTCATGAGGTAGCTGAGGTAGACCTTCCCTCAATACAAAGTTGCTTGAAGTGGTAGGGCACAAAAAGGGCATGAATCTAAGGAACAATACTTGTAACAACAGAGACTTGTCAGGAATGTCTGTAGATACATTTTGTTGTGGCTGATTATTTACTAGCGAACAACAATTTTACTGCCTTACCACTTTGTAAAATGTAACATAGAATGTGACTCTTCGTATCTCATTAAGTTTTAACTCCTATTATCAAACTCCTAGATCTGAGTCTCCTTCTACTAAGAACAATGCAAATTCAATTTGCATTAATTTCAAAATGAGTAATTTTAAACTGATATTTTTGTTTTCTTTGGCTTCTTACAGTGTTCAGGCATTATTATATTTCACTGATCTATAAACCTTCATAAAGTCCTCTGAAAGCCTACATACCATCTGCTATGCTCCTCTATCACTGGCATAGCAACAAAACTGTGACTTAAGTAAAAACAAGTCAAATATAACAGCTCTAAAGTTGCATGTAAAGCAAATCTGTATATAAATATATTCTTTTCAAATTTCTGCTGCCATTCTTAAGAAAAATCCAAAATCTCACAAATCAGCCTTCAAAGCAATACCAGACAGCAATCTGTCAGTTCTCCAGTAAGCATGAGCTGTCTAACCAGTGTCATTAGTGCCTCAAAAAAGATGTTTTCCCTGCCTTGCTTGCCAGGAATTCACAATAGCTTGTCAACAATATTAATACCTACCAATTAACCAGTCTTTCCAAGTTCAAAGCACTGTAAAAACTGAAGTAATCTGCTGCAGCATTTTCTAGGTTCATGCTAATTCCTGTAAATGTAATGCTTTTAAAATCTGGCATGTTCTGCAGTGTTCTATTTAATTCCCTTCATTTTCACTGTTTTCTTATCTTGAACTTGCTTTTCCTCCCAAATTCTGGAATTTATGGGTTTTTTCCTTTTACTTTTCCCCCAAGACTAGTGTTCCTGACTGCCTTGTTGAGTCACAAACACAGAATGACCTTAGTGTATGCTCCCCTTTACACTTACTTTCCCCAGTTTCATCTTTATTTTCACAACTTTTCCAACATTACTCGTTCAGCCTCACAGCCCATTTGTCTCTGCACACTTAACAGCATTGTTTGTGTCCTCTAAGTCAGTCAAGCAACTGACCTGACATCTATCACATGCACAGTTTGTCATCCTTTCCTCATGGAAAAAGGAGTCAAAGTCTTGTCAGAGTCCTTAACCTTTAGATGCTCAATGTGTTGCAGTAAGTCAGTGTGAGACAAGCACATCAGAGGTGCTAACAGCAGTACTAATGCTTTGCAGAGAAGCTCATGAGCTCTGCCATGGTTCTCAAGTCCTAGGAAAGAGCCAAATTCTCTGAGCTAAAGTAAAAGCGTCCAAATGAACCATACTTTTTTCCTCCTCTAACCCACACCCAGCTTTACTTCTGATGTACCTACAAGCTTCTTTATTCCCATTTTTGGGGTAACTTGCCTTTTAATACATGGGTGGAATTTCAAGGTGGTAGGAGTCTGAGCTTGTGCTGACAGGCAAAACTCTCTTCCATTTTCACACTGACCTGCTCTGTGCATGAAAGCCCTTGATCTCTTGCCTTTTTCTGTCAACAGTAAGTCTAGCCAAGGACTCCTTCTCCAGCACAATTTAGCCCTTCTCAGAGAATAACCTCAGGGGATAACCTCAGATGATCTCTGAACTGCACTGTTCAGACACCAGCCAGTCTGCAAATCCACCTGTGTCTTGGCATCCACCTCTGGTGGTGAAATCACTCTTCTGTTCCATATATGCTTCTGTTCCCATATATACTGTGACTTATTTGTGATTAGCAGAAGACAGTTTCCAGCAAACTGAAACTCGTCTATTATCCAAATTGTAGATTAATATTTGATGTGAAGGCAAGACATTATCACTGAAGCTTGATTTCCTCCAAATCCTTTTGCTTCTCAGGTGTTTGTCTACTATAATTTAAAAGTCAAATAATTTTAAGGGTGAAGGAACATCCTGTGAGCCCAGAACTACAGTTAGCACAATGGATGGGTAAGTGGCTTCTTTTTCTGGTTTTCTGTTAGCTAGCCTAATCTCTCCCGAATGTCTTTATTAGCTGATGCACCTGGCTCACCAGTATAATGCTTATTCATTTCTGCCAGGCCTTAAAGCACTTTATTTAATGGCTGGCTGGTACATTAAGGGGGTAATGGTAGTTTCAGTACCTCTTTGCCACATCAATATTTGAGGCCACCATTTCAGCCCTGGCAAGGTTCTCTGTGCAATACCAGGTAACCTCAGGTGCCTTTGCACACCTGGATGCACATGCTCTGTGACCACACATCCACTGAAACCCAGCATGGCAGCAGGCCCTGGCCCAAGACAGCAAAAGGAGGTGTTTTCCCCACCTATTCTGCCAAAGGAACACAATGCTGGAAAAACATAAAGGAACCTAAGCTGAAAACTGTCCTAAATCTACACCTGAAGCATGGGGTACCATGTAGGCATACAGTTTGTAATTGGGGTGTGGCTGTGGCCAGCCTCATCCCCAGTGGGCTACAGCTGTGAGCAGCAGGTGAGCAGCACTGACAGCAATGAGCCATGGAAAGCCCAGGGGCACTGACTATCACCAGAGGGAGCAGAGGGCACACAGGTGCCATGCAGGAACAGGAGGGTATGAAAGGTTGGGCTGAAGAACAAGAAAGAACAGACATTTTGTGCTTTCTGCAGTGTTATAGCACTACTGTGTATGGATTGAAGCCTTCTGAAGTGGTATGGGGATGTTCTGTGTCACAGCTGTCTCAACTGTGGTATGTGCTGCTACAGTACTATCCAGAGGGACCTGGACAAACTTGAGAAGTGGGTCTGCAGGAACTTCATGAAGTTTGACAAGGCTAAGTGCAAGGTGTTGCACATGGTTCAGGACAACCCCTGGTATCAAGACAGGTTTAAGTGCTACTGGATGAGAAGCTGGACATGATCTGGCAGTGGGCACTCACAGCCCAGAAAGCCAAACGTGTCCTTGGCTGCATCCAAAGCAGTATGGACAGCAGAACCTGAGAGGAGATTCTGCCCCTCTGCTCTGGTGAGACCCCACCTGCAGGGCTGCATCAGCTCTGGGCTCCCAGCACAGGAACGACAAGGACCTGGTGGATTGGGTCCAGAGGAGGGCTGCCAAACCAATCAGAGGGATGGAGCACCTCTCCTGTGAGGGAAGGCTGAGAGAGTTGGGATTGTTTGGTGTGGAAGAGAAGGCTTAGGAGAGACCTAATTGTGGCCTTCCAGTACCCGAAGGGAGCCTACAAGAAGATGCAAAGAGACCTTTTACAAAAGCATCTAAGTGGACAGGGCAAGGGCGAATGCCTCCTAAAGGGAGTAGGTTTAAACTAGGCATTTGGAATAAATTCTTTACAGTGATCCTGGTGAGGCACTGAAGCAGGTTGCCCAGAGGAACTGTGAATGTGCCATCTCTGAAAGTGTTCAAGGCCAGGTTGGATGGGTTTTTTTGCCTCGTCTAGTGGAAGGTGTCCCTGCCCTATGGCAGGAGCTTTAAGGACCCTTCCAACCCAAACTATTCTTCGATTGCATGACCCCTTATTTTAAAGTTCCAGATCTCCTATGATGGTCTTTTCGCGGTTCTCCACCCAAACTTTTCAGCTTGGAAGTGGGGGGGCGGGATGTGAACACGCGATGATCTGGAATCACAAACGTCGCTGGTGCGGTGTCTGGAGTTGGAAGCCGCCAGCCCGCTCTGTCCCGGGGGCCGTGAGCGCTCCTCCGCCCCCGGAGCCGCTCCCGCCCCGGCGTCCCCGCGCCCCCTCAGGGCAGCGCCGCCCGCCGGGGAAGAGGCGCGCGCGCCCCGGCCGGGCCCGGCGATTGGCGGGGACAGCTGTGACGTCATCGCCGCGCGCCGGCAGCCCCGCGCCCTGCTCCGGAGGGAGCGCTGCCCGGGCCTCATCCCGGGCTTCATCCCAGCCTTCATCCCAGCCCTCATCCCAGCCCTCATCCCGCCTTCCCGCCGCGCTCCTGCCCCGGGGCCGGCCCGGCCCGGCTCTGCCCTGCCGGCCGCCGCCGCTGCTGCCGCCTCCCGCCGCCCCGCTGCGCCACAGGTGCGTGTGGGGCCCGCCGCCCCGAGATGAGGAGGGAGGCCGGGGTAGCGCGGGGAAGAGAGAGGGAGAGAGAGGGAAGGAGGGTGGGAGGGTGGGTGGACGGATGGACGGGCAGGCAGAGCCTTCCGGCTGCCTGGCAGCGCTCCTGGCCTCACGTTCCTGTGCGCGCGCCGGCCGGTCCCTTCGCCTGCATTTTTTTGTCTGAATTAGATGGGCCCTGCCGGATCTTTCCCCTTCCTGGCTTTCCCCACAGAAAGGCTAAGAACATGAGCCTCTACAATTTGGACCGGTTCCGCTTCGAGAGGAAGGGGAAGGGCGCGGAGCAGGTGTCGCCGTCCTCGCCGGCGGCCTGCGCGGAGGCACCTGTGGCTGCTGCCGCGCTCCGTGCTGCTGCAGGGGATGAGGAGGAAGGTGCGGATGACAACAAGAGGCCAGACACTCCGGCTTCGGACGTGTCAGAGAGAACTGGTGAGTCAGGTGTTTTGCATGCAGCGTAAGTACTTAATTATTAGAAATAAAGTAATTGTCTTTTGTTTTGATGATTGTCATTTTGGGTTTTGCCTTCTTTGCTTGTTTTACAGAAGTGTTTGTGCAAACATTTCACAACAATTTTCACAAAAGTATCCTCATTTGTAGCAGAGTGTGCTCTAATTGAACTTGTGCATTTACAGGCAAGTTGTTAACCTTCTGAAATAACTTGATTTTTTCAATTGATTAAGTATGTTTCAAATTAAATGTTGCAAGAGTGTTACGTTTTTCATTTGTAAACTCTATTTACTGATACTTATTTTACGCTAACGTTTCAGTGTTTTCAAGGAAGGTTTTTATTTGTCTGATAGATACAACACAGCTTTCTGAGTAGATTCCTTGGCTAATGCATAGTGGAGCATCACAGATGGAATTGAAAAGAAAGGGAACAGTTTCTTTTCACTTGGGCCTGGTTTTGTAAAGAGCTGAGAGACCTGGTACTGATTCTCAAAAGCTATGTTAATGGTTTTGTTGTAGTGTGTGTCCTCTTTTGGGGCAGAAGCTAGGGTTTTTCATGGAAATGTGAAAAACTTGATTGTGTTGTAGTGTGTTAGTTTCCTTTGACTGAGATAGTAGGAGTGTGCAGTTCCTGTTTAGATTTGTTGGTTAATACTAATGACTGAAGTTGCTGTTGGCTGTGTAATCGCATTCACTTGTGTGTTTTTCCTGTTACTGAGGGACTAAGATTTGAAAAACAGACAGTATCTCCTGCTGGCTATTTGGTACTTCTCAGACATGCCATTTAACTTGTGGTATAGTTGTTAAACTACAGGTGTTATTGAAGAGATCAGACAGTGTATGACTATGCATTTATTAAAAAAATGAAACAACAATATGTCTTGATCTTGTTTAACTACATTTTTTGCATGTGACTTTCCCTTGGTGCAGGGCAATTTTTCACAATGCCTTATCTACATGATAACAGAGAACCATTCATGCACAAGGAGTTCTCTTTTAAAACTGAGCCAAGTCAGAATTAAAGATGTGGATATTTACTTTGCCCTAAATTTTGGTTTCATGTAGGTTGACTGTTTTCAGTTGATTGGAGTGCTCTTGTGTTTACTTTAGTAAATATTAAGCAACGTTCTGCGTTAAAATATATAAGTTGTCACTCTGGAACTGAATAACCTGTCCACTTACAAAGAATGTTTTGGCGACAGGGAGAACTCTAAAGAAGCAGGCAGCTGTTAATTCTGGTTTCTGCTGATGTGCCTTTGTAATGCTTGTATGGCAGAATGGCCACTCTGGAGAAATGCACTTTGGAACAGGTGTTCCCTTCCTGTTTGTGGTAAATCATTGTCGGACGAGTTATCGAGTGCAGGGGCCCTTCTTGAACTGTGAATGTAGTTCTGCAGTAATGGATGGTGCTGATTGTTTTGTGGCTTCGTGTTTTGGGGATTTACTTTATTTTAATGTTATACTTCTTCCTTTAATCTGCCTGTGGGCTTTGTCAGTGTAAGCATGTCGCTAGACCATAACTGCCAACAAATTTCAGTGCTTGTTTTTTCAATATGCTGGTTTCCTATGACTTAAATTCTGCAGGGGTAGGACTGTGGAGAAGGAATGTAATACCAATTTAAAGGCATTAGTTTAGATACAAGGTAATAAAAAGAAAGGTGAAGGTCAACCTAAAAAATGTGTAATGTGAGGCCAAGTGCTTGTGAGAACTAGTGGGAGGTGGTGGTAGTGAACAGTGAAACAGGGTAGAGTGCAAGAGGAGGAAAAACTACAGCAGGTATCCAACTGAAATAAGCATCCATGGACACAGATGCTGGTGTAGAACTGGGGCGCTAATTAACATTTAAAATTGAGATGTAATTAGTAGTGCTCTGCATATACATAATGCTTCATCTTTCACAGATACTGAGTGTTTAAAGAAGATCGAGTGGTTTACTGACTTTTTCTCCCACTTATGTGCACATCAGTGTTATGTAACCTATTTAAAGAATTAATAGCCTATTTTAAGACATGAAATCACAATTTCTACATCTACAGAATTTAATGAAAAACAAAGCACTCAGATATTGTCTGCATGATATGAGGCACTTAAATGTAGATTTGATTAGCAGATGCCTGTCCTTCTTGTTTCCTATTTGGTATCAGGAAGACACAATTTTTGGTTTGGGTCAAACAAAAGTCAGCTTTTTTGTTGTTGTTGTTGTTATTTCTGAATGGTCATGGAAAGGCCCAGAGCTGAGTTTATGGCACTGTGTACTCTCTGCTGCTGACTGCACCAACAGGTCATACTATGGAGTTGTTCTGTATGAGAAGCAGTTTACACCAGGCTCACCAAAAATAACTTGCCCTAATGCTCACTGCATCATGTGAGGACAACAACTACTCAGATTTCTTCTGAAGACAAAGTGATTAACAAAATACTGGTACAAGAAACTAGGGAAAGAAGATAGTGATCTTTATTTCACTTATACAAACAAAAATGCCATTAAATAGCTAACAACTTGGGTTTTTTTTATTTTTTGCTAACAACTTTGGTATAGTGCAACCACTGTGTGTATCTAAAAAGAATTTAATAATCTTTGTCCTTCAGGAGCATAAATAGTTCAGTATAATTTTGAGAGATTGCTTCAGATTTCTGTTTTATCAAGTGCCCTGAAATGCACCTCTAACAAGTATAGGATTGTCTAAATGTCATCCATCTTCAAAAAATATAGTCAGATCTTGTCTGTTGTGGCATGAACCACCATTATCTTTTTAGTTATTTTCTCTAGTTTTGTTTTCCCAGAACAAACTAATACTGGTACATGATTCTTCTTACATTTATGTCTGTAGGTCATACTTTTTGTTCTTTGTTTTGAACATGCATCCCTTCTGCTTTAATAAGCAATTTGTGGTGTGATGGCCACAAGAATTGGTCATCTTTGTACACTTGTCTGTATTCAAAATTACGCAGACCTGCAGTGACTTTGCAGCCAGGTTGTAGGGAATAATTCTGGGCTGCATTTGCTGAGACAGACCGGAGACAGTTGCCAAATTATATATGGTAGATGTCTCTAAAAGGAGTTGGAAAAATATACTGGAGTGGCTTATTGCAGTTTTTAATGCAAATTAGTATTATTTACTGAATAGTAGTGTTTACTGAATCACTTACTCTGTTAAGGAAACAGTGAAGAGTCTTAATTTTCATTTAGATGTTTTTAATTGTGTCATTAGCTCAGTGTACTAAGATAATGAGATTATTTTACACAGTTGTAGAAATGGAGCAGAACTGTACCAGAACTGCACAAATTAGAACAATTGCCCACATGAATTTCAAAATTATGCCTTTATTCTGGTCTCAGAGAGCATGCTTACTAAGCTTCCAAAAAGAATTTAAAGAAAAGTTATAAAAGAAATTAAACTACTGTGCATAACCCCATTATTGATGACTGATTTTGTTGATATCCTCTCTGACTGATTTTGTTGTATCCTGAATGGCTACACTTTGAGATTATAATGCTCAGAGCTCACTGGCACTGGGACTGCTCTTTTTTTTTTTTTTTTTTTTCCATGTGTCATTTTCTCTGGGATCTGAGCAAGTCCTGTCTTTTGCTTATGTCTCAGTTTGTAGGGTGTAATTCTACATAGACTATTTCTGGAAAATAGTGATGTCTGCAATATCAAGTGAAGTTTTCTAAGGGTTCATGGGAAGATATGTTGAAGTAATCATTTTAAAAGGGCTGCTTTAAGAAGTACTTTAGAATAATACTGACATTTAAGATTATTTTAGCCAATGGAAGAGACTCCCTTGAAAAGGGAACACTTATTACCTTGTAGACTTGGGCACCATGTGCTTGATACTGCTTTCTAAAACTAGGTGGAAGTTACTTTATATTTGACAAGGCTTGTTAGACAATGTTAGTAAATGTGGTAAGCCTCTTAAGTATTGCCTCAGTTTTTCCTTTGGTTTTACCTTTGTTTTCACTTGTGAGAGAAGCTGTCTTTCTCCAAGTGTGGTGTATGATTTGTGTAGGAAGTTGTATTTAGAATTACAGGGTAGTGTATTCTCATTTAATGATAGCAAAAATTTGTGGTGGTTGTTGGGTTTTGGTTTTGATGTTAATGTGTGCATATAGGGATACTTATGAGTGTTCCTATTTCTGGCCTCAAAGTCAAAAGCTGGTCTTATGATTGCAGGCATTCCTTAATAGCTCATTTGAATTGCCTGTAATCAGAAAATTCTGCCTCCAAGAATTACATATTGTGGCAATAACTTTAGTCTTTTACTACTCTACAAGGTTATGAGGAACTCCTTATTACATGTGTGATTTCTGCTTCCCCCCACTTTGTAGGGGACGCTGTTCAGTAGAATAGGTGGAGAAAGGGCAGAAGACTGGGCTGTTTTTTGAGGTTTTTTTTGAGAGGAAGGATGCTTTTTTTTTTCCCCCCCAGGTAACTCAGCATTTTATAAGTATGGGAGTTAGGAGCTGTCATGAAGACAGGATAGTAATTGCTAAATAGAATGAGAAATCACTAAGTGAAACAGTAAATACTCTTTATTTAAGTATAAATTTTGTCTAAGGTTTATACTGTAAAAGATAAAATTACTTGTAAGATTATAATATTTTTGTAAGATTTCCTTGTGTTTTTCCTTTAAATTCAGTGAGGACGCCTCTTAGCCAAGTTGTCATGAGCAGCTGTCCTTTCTGTGTCACACTGCTTGCAAGGGGAATTTGTTTGAAATTTAGTTTAATCTAAGGTGAAGATCCATGGAAACTGCCTTGATCTGTTCAGTTAATTCAGTGTAGATGTGAAATTCTCATGTTTCTTGAGACCTGTTTTGATGTTGAATTGCATTTTTTAATGCATTTTGTGTTTCTATCCTACTGTGATAGCCTTTGCCCTGATAACCCAACTTCATAGTGTTCCCAAAGGTCTCTTTTGCTCCTCTCCTGTATTTGTCTCAAAACTTCATCAGTTTTCAGATGAAGCAACTGCATCGAGGACAAGGCATCTCCTTCCTAAAACGGACAGATAGAAGAAGGTACTGCTCAGTAGGCTTCCACTGCCAACATGTTGATCTTGGATGCAGGGAGGTCCATCTTGGAATGGTGTACTACTGCTTCAGAACTAATAATTTTTAGGCATTCCTAAATTTGCATGTGTATTGGCTTTTCAAAATAAGATTCATTTGCAAAGTGAGACTTTTGCCTCTTCTAAGAATCATTACCGTAATCCTGTATTGTGTTTTGAAAGTGATAGAAAAGACTTAGATTTTGATAACTCAACTAAAACTAGGTATTTTATCACATAGAAGGAATTGGACACCATGTAGCTCCTTTCTGTATTTGACTATTAGATTAATTTAGTCTAGCTTCATCTGTGTCTACTGTCTCTGGCAAATCAGCTTTGCAAACTAATGTTGCGTTCTAGCAATTTGACTCAGCAAGTTTCTGCATTACCAAATGGAGACAGAAGAGACTACCTTCCAGGCAAAATTGTGGTTCTAGAGTTAGCAGCACCACTGGTGCTTCATTCACAAGCCCATGAGTTTTAAAAAAAGGTGGGTGTGTTAGAGAGGAGAGGATGCCTGTGATCCTTTCTTTGTGCTATGAGAATTTAAGATCTTTTTATATGAGGACTTCTAGTGACAGTAGTATCACTAAAACACAGCTTTCCCAGAAGCTCCTTATCTGGATTTGCATGTGGTTAAGGCCGTCTTGTTGAAGGATCCATTCAGTGCAGGTCACTCAGTGTGTGGCTGCAGATTGAGCTGTGGGTGTGGAGAGGCCCAGGCAGGTGGCGGGGAACTGCTGACCCCTGTCAGGGCATCGGGCACTCAGGAGTTGATGACTGCAGACTTTGCTGCACTTAGACTGTGAGGATGTAAAATCCTAGGATTTTTTTTTTTTTTGTGGGAGTTGCCCCTCAGAGGTACCAGCTAGAGCTGTGGTTTTGTAAATGCACCATGTTTAAATGATACCAGGGATCTGGACATTTGAGAGTGCTCTGGGAGACTTGGTGTGATTATGTGAATGGGATCTGTAGCTCTAAAGGGGTCCTGGTCCCAGCTGAGGTGCTGCTGCCAGAGTGGCTCCTAGGTGATTGGAAGTTTCTTTAACAACCTGAAGTCTTAAGGCTTCAATGATTGCTCTTTTGAACTATCATTTAACCCTTGTTGATGTTTCCTCATAGACACTGAGTTACATTCACCTCTATCCCTTTAACCCTTTAATTAAGCTCCATTTAAAAGTTTTCTTCTTTTTTTGGTACCATATTGTTTTTAGTTTATTGGGTGCCTTTGCCTTTCAAAACCTGTGGAGTTTCCTGTGTCAGCAAATATCTTGTACTTCAAGGATTTATCTTTTTTTTTTCTTCAGTGCTGCCACAGTGAGTTATTTAAAATTTATTTCCCACAAGATTTCTTTTATACAGAAAAGGCTCTCTGCATCTGTCATGTTCTCTGCTCTGTGCATCAATTTTTCTCTCTTCATAGAAAAAAGAAAGAAATATGCCTATGTTTCTATCCATGTTCTCATTGGCCTGGAGGTAGTTCAGAGGACTTTGCTCCTTATTCATTTATCTAAAAATAAGTATTTATTTATTTTCAAATAGTTATTAACCTAAAATACACATTCTCTTAAACTTTGTAGTATAAAAGTTGTTTGATGTAAGAGGGCTGAAGATCCTTTGCCAAGTAAGTTCTCACTTTAAGAAATGCAGCTGACAGGAATTTTCTGTGCATGAGAAGGTGAGTTCTGTTTAATGGCTGTTGTGTCTCTGAAAAAAATCACAGCTACCTGATGCTCTAAGTAGAAATAAATATTTGAAGTCATAAGTCATTGTCTCCTTTTTTCTCTTCTATTGAAATGTCTTGCACAGAGTATTCCACCATCCCAGAAACTCCTGAAGCTCAGAGGACAATGAAAGAGTCTTACTTCAAGCGCCAGCGAGGGGTGCACTTCCTCGATCTCTCTGACAGCGAGGATGAGGAGCCACAAAACGTCAGCGCTGCCAAAGAAACCTGGGCTCCGAGGGGAGAGGTGGTCTTAAAGTACGTTTTGAGCCAGCTTCTGTCGTGTCTCTGCACCCTCAGGGGTGTTCCAAGTTCAAACACTGAATTGAAAACCAGAGCCTAGGTTGGGTTCTTGTTTGTTCCTTTGGGATTCGGCTACCCCTAACTAAACTTTACTGGTTTTCCTGGGAAGAAGTATCCTGCTAAAACATTTTCTCAGAGGGAGGAGTTCTGTGATGTTGAAACGTGTGATGTTTGTTTATTTACACATTTGTGCCTTTGCCCTTCTGAAATCCTTTTAGTGCAACTTGAAAACTTATTCATAAAACACTTAACACTTGCTTTACTAATTTTAAACTGTTGGAGTTGATTTTTTTTTGTATATGCAGCTATAGTTGACAGGGAAGCAAATAGAGCTTCAGTGTGTTATATGAGTTTCGAGGTAAACTTAAGTATGAGTTGTGTGGTGTGTTTCCTATGCATAGTGAAAGCTATTTCTTCCCTGAGTGATTTGGAGATTTATATTTTTAAATGTGCTAGGAGGGAAGAGTCACTGTGGAAGAGTTGCTTGTATGTGTGCTAAAAAGGCAGTGTTGAGAAAACAGGCGAGACAAGATGTAGATAGACATCTGCAGCCATTTGCAACAGTTTAAAGGAACCCCTGCTAGTTGTATGTCTGTGTGGTAATTGTGCCCTCTAGATGTTCTTGTACAAAAGAGCAAAGCAAAACGGGATGGCTTTACCTGCTTTTTTGATAATCTAGTTGAATTAATGGGCAGAAAACTTTTGTGGGAATTGCAGCCTTAACAGGTATTGCCTCTTGTCAGGTTTTCAGTCCTATACAGAACATGGAGTTATTGGGGGTTTACAGCAGAAGTGAAATAATGCATTTTCCTGCTGCTGTTACCTGAAATTCTGATGTTGTGTTGTTTGTTTCTTTTTTTAGTGTTTGCCCCCCAAAGCTTCAACTTAAGGCAGCTACTTGAAAAGAAGAAAAATATTAGTGAGCTCCTGCTTCTGCCTGTGATTTAAGTTGTAGGTTGTGCAAGGAGAGAGATAGCCAGCTAGTTGCATGCATCAAATTGGCTTGTGTGTGGTGCTGTGTAAATGTAGTTACTCTGCTTCTGGGATCAATCCCACCTGGAAGCAGTTCAAGTGGTTTTGTATCATATGGAGCTGATGCTGATAAGCCATCCAGGATGCAATTTGCAGAGCCACTGCTTGGTGTTCCTATACTGTGTTGCTGTTGCTGGGAGCAAGAGATGGACAGCAAGGTGACACCCTAGTGGGATTGATGAACATGAGACTACATCCTCTTGTGCTCCTCAGTATTCCTGTGTAGCCGCCAGGCACCTCAGTGCCCAACACTGTCCCCAGTGTGCCGACTCAGGTGCTGATTGATGTGTACAGAACCCACGGAGCTGTGTCACGAGTGGCTGTTCTTGTGACAAATGGAGAGTCTGGCAGGAGTTAGCTGAGATCTCTCCAGGCTTAGGAGCTCTGGCTTGTGCTGAAGTCTGGCTTTGCATGTAATCAATCAATACATTGTCTGCATTATGCATTTTAGTGCATGTTTTGCCTATTTTGGGATGTTTTTTGGGGGTTTACTTCCTTTTTGCAGGGTATCCTAGCTTCCCTCATTCTGAACAAGGCACAGAACAGAAAGCAGTTTAGAATAGAAAACATATGTTTCCTAAAGAAAGTGTGCCGTGACTTTTTGCTACCAGAGGGTTGCTGTCTGGAAAAGAAAGCAGAATCTAACACAAGGTCTTTTGGGTCAGAGTTGCTTGGTAGTTAAATGAGTGTTTCTTTATGCTTGATAAGAATGTGATTATACACAGAGGACAAGATTTATGATGTATGCAACTCTGGCTTTGTTGACAAGTGTCTAGATGTTATTCCCAGATAGGAAAGGATAGGCTAATTGCAGTGTCACCATTTTCATTTGGATTTTCTTCTTTATATGCACTTTCTAAAAAAAAACCCTTCTTCCTTATCAAGGCAAATAGATCAGAAAAATGCCAATAGATTTTACTATGCTATTTCATTGAGGTGTTTTTTTTAAATGAAAGTAGCATTCATGTTTTGAAGCTTACAACTCAATGCCTTGGTGAACTGAAGAATAATGTGTATTCTCTCTTGTTACTTACTTACTCTTAAGAGGCACAAGCAGAGAGTCCTGGTAGCTGTGCCTTTTGAAAAGGGAGTAAAGGATTCTTTTGATAAACAGTTACATGTTTGTATCTGTTATGTATGTGATATGTAGCAATTTTTTTCCAGAATTCTAATGCAATATACCTGTTGCAACTGCTAAAGAAAGACATAGTGAGGAAAAACAGTTTTATTTTCAGTCTTTTACCTATATTTATGTAGAGAGACCTGCAGGCAGGCCTTTCTGATGGTGAAATCCCGATTAAATGGCAAACTCCATATGGTTCAATGAATTTTGCCTTCCCAAAAGGAGATTCTTATGTGTCTTTGGGAGGAAGGAGGATGGGAGACCTGTGCTTGGGTTCAGTCTTATCTGTGCAATTCAATACCCTGAAAGATACATAGGGGTTGCTTTTCCTGCAAATTAGCTCTAATAATCAGTTTTTCAGTAAATTCAGAATACACTTATTTCAGAAAGGCTCTTCCTATATTTATACATTTAAGATGCTGCACGAGGATCTTTGACTTTTCTTCCTAGCTGAGAGCTAGGACAGAGAGTTGTTGCTGCTCCTGGAAAGAACAGTGTTTACAAAGAACCTAATCCATGTGTGTTCATCTGTTGGGCAAATGAACACTAGCAAGGCTGTTTAAAATAAACTTTAGTAGTCAGATGTAATTCAAGTAGCTGAAACTGTTCAAGTAGCTAAACTCTATTAAGGTGGTTGTTACTAAATTATCAATAACCTTTTATAGCACAATATGGGGGTAAGTTATGGTATTTCCATGGTCCATTCTTCCTTTCTTCTTTCCTTTGTCAAATTGAAGTTCTTTAGTGTAAAGAGGACACTGTACTTGTTACATGCCTGACTTTGTCCTGAGTAGAGGTATCCCTTTGCATACAAGTTGATTCAGTGTTACTGAATGCATCTCGATGCATTTTGTGCAATCCTGGTGGGTTAGTTTACAGTAATTTTCTGGTAGAGTAAAACATTCATAAACAAAAATAAATTTTAAATCTTTTTTTCTTCCCCTGTATATTGCAGCTCTGAATTGTATGATGATGATGACCAGCCGGAGGAGGAAATGCCCCAGCTGGCACTTGTAAATGGTGGGGAGCAGCAGCCAGTTGTGAAGGAGCATTTAGAGAAGGATACCAGAGACTCAAAGCTGCAAACAATGAAGGAACGTTTTCCCCAGAGAAGTGACCAAGAATTATTAAAAGTAATAATGCTCAGTTCTTTGGTTTATTTTGATGATTATTTATAGGATTTTATAGGCAGTTTTTCTAAGCTTCTTACTTCATTACAAGGTACAGTCCTGTGGTGAGTAATGCTGTCTGAATGCTAGGTACCCACTAAAGCTGCTCTGTCATTCTGCTTCTCAGCTGGACAGGGAAGAGAATAGAATGAAAGGTTCATGCATCACGATAAAGACATGGAGAGATTACTCCACAGTTATTGTCATGAGCAAAACGGACTCAACTTGTGGAAAAGATTTAATTTATTATCAGTCACATCAGAGTAGGGTAATGAGAAATAAACACAAGTCCTAAAACACCTTCCCCCCACCCCTCCCTTTTTTGGGGGCTTAACTGCATTTGTGATTTTCTCTACCTCCTTCCCCCCACACCAGCAGTGCCTGGGAATGAGATATGGAAACTGCAGTCAGTTAATCAGCCCTTCTCAGCAGGAGGACTCATTACACCCTTCCCTTGCTCCAGATTTAGATCTCTTTCCATGGCATGCAGTCCTTCAGGAACAAAGTTGGTCCATTGTGGGTCCTTTTTACAGAGTCACCAGTCCTGCCAGCAAACCTACTCCAGCATGGGCCCTTCTCTCCATGGGTCCTACCAGGAGCCTGCTTTCTTGGGGGGCTTCCCACATGGTCACAGCCTCCTTCAGATATGAACCTGCTCTGCTGTGCTGTTCTCCATGGGCTGCAGGTGGATCGCTGCTCTACCTTGGCCTCCATGGGCTGCATGGACACAGCTGCCTTACCACAGCTGCTCCACCTCCCCCTCTGTGGGCTGCAGGGGAATCTCTGCTCCAGCAGCTGGAGTACCTCCAGCCCCTCTTTCACTGACCTTGGTGTCTGCAGGGTCATTTTTCTCATGAATTCTACTTCCTCTCTCCTGCTGCAGGTGTGTTGATCCTCCCCATTTCCTTACCCCCTTTCCTTCTAAACTGTTATCTACTGGTGCTGCTGCTGTCACTGATGGCTTGGCCTTGGCCAGCAGAAGGACTGTCTTGGAGCTGACTGGCACTGGCTCTCTTGGATGTGAGGGAAGCTTCTGGTGGTTCCTAATAGAAGCCACCTGTGTAGCCCCTGCTACTGTCAAACCTGGCAGTACAGCTCTTAATTGTTGTTTTGTTAATAGCAAAAGGGTAAAAGTAAGATTTTAGGGGAAGTATGGCTGTGTAACGTTTCCACATATGGATATAGACACACACTTCAAATAAATTCCACTAGGTAAGTTCAATAACAGTGAACTCCAGTGTATGGAAAATTTTTCAAGTATTTCTTTGTTGTAACATTTAAGCTTAATTACGGCTGTCTCAGTTGATAACTATTTGTAACTGCTGTTGTTGGAATGAGCTAATTGATGAAATGCAGGAGTGGAATCACTGCCATCTTCCAGTAGATGCAACACTGTGCAAGCTTGCATTTATGACATTTAACATGCAAATACTTCAGTACTTCCAGTGAGGCAAAGGGTATATTTGAACTTATTGTAATGTATTCTGATTAAGCTGATGTGGGAACTCTTGGCCATTATCCAGTGTACCATAAAAATCTACAGCTAACTCTTTGCAGCTGAGGTGTGGTAGCTCTCATTATAGTGAAATACCTTTAGTATTGTAGAAGGCTTTCACTAGCTTTTATTTATAAAGCTAAATATGTTTAAATTAGGCTTTAAAGTTTCCTGGTTGTTGAAATGGCATTGAAGAAATACACACATTTTATTGGTGTTTCTTGCTGGAGTTTTGTTTTGCTTCTTAGTGGATCAAGCTTTGTGCTTAGGCTCCCTTTATTTTGGGAGAACAGAAGGGTTGCAAGTAGGAATTATTCTCCTGAACATTGTAATTAAAATTTGTTGTGTATGTCCAGAATATATCTTTTTTAGTTTTTGGCTGCCTAGAATTTATTTGATTCAAAGAATGATAAAAGTTCACTGTAGCTTAGTAACTTGGTAGAAATGCTATGTGATGTGTCTAACTGCTGTTTTATGACTTAGCTACTGAGCAGCATGTGAGGCTGATGATGTATGTTTTCAGGAGAATGCAAGATAGCTCCTGTATCAGCAGAACTTTGTGGAAAATGAAGACTGTGCAGATTTTTTTTCTGCAGTTACATAGCTGCAACATTTTTAAGGCGGGCAGAGGACTATCAGGCAAATCTGTTGTTCCTTCATGAAAGATCTGGAGTAGACTGTCCTGCCAAACTTGACATAACTGATGAAGGCTATTAAGGAAAAAAAATCATGAGCCTTCTGAAAAAGAAATTGTGCCATTGTAGCAAAATTGTAAGATGCTGTTTCTAAATGCAGACTGATACTTGAGAATCAGGATTCCTCCCAACTTCATTTTTTGTGGGTGTTTTTTTCATATTTGTAACATTTAGGCCATTTGCTTTTGTTGCTATTACCTCACTTGCAGAAAGCCTTCTAAAAGAGTCAACATGCAGTTTGTAAAACAGATCTATGTTTAGATTACATGTGGATGGAGGAGCAATCTAGGACTGCAAGGATGTATTGATAAACCTTGAGGCCTGTTATACTTTTCATCCATGTGCTTACAGGAAATGGACCTGTGCATCACAATAGTATTCACTTTGAGTTAATAAATTAGAGGGTTTTATTATCTCATTTTGTAATAGGAACATTGAATAGTCTTTGGAAGAAAGCTTCTAAGTAAATCTGCAGAGTATGTTTGTGAAGTAGGGAAGAAAGTGATAATAAATGACATTGTATTCAAAGTGTTAATTTGATACCTCTTGGTTTTGTTTTTTTGATTTTCTAATACATTTATATTTGAGGGGGGACGTTTGAAAGTGTTTTTCAGTCACAGCTGATCCAGCATTTTCTTCCTCTGTTCAACTGGATTAAATTTTTCCACTTACCAGTTGCTTTTTTTTTGTTTTGCAGCTGATAGAATCAGCATGCACAATGGATGAAGCAGTAGCTGCTGGCTTGAAGCTCAATGACAAAGGTATGTTTAACAAAAAACCTCACAAGACAACACCAAAAGCCAAACTTTAGAAACTAGCTAATTCAGTGAGATTGGTTGGGAACTGTTTAAAAAGTGATAAAGCTTCTGCTAAAAGTTGCAATGTTGTTTGTTTATTGTAATACTACAAAGCTGAATTTACAGGCTTTGCAGGGAGAAAGATGAAAAGAGAATGTGGACCAAAATCTGCAAATAAAACCAGAAAGGAAAATTTGTTCTGTGCTCAGGATTGCTTTGCTTGGGGTTTCTTAAGTGATTGTGTTCTTGCTGGTTCCTTCTTTGTCCAGAACTTGAGGCAAATAGTAAGGGGTTAGCAGAAGTAATGTTCTAGGTGAGCAGTCTGGTAGTATGGAAAAAATATACTGAGTTTGTAGTTACTAATAAGTAGATATTGTTTGTATCAAGGTCCATTGCAGTTTTTTCTTCTGCTTGCTTTCAAGACTTGCTTGTAATTCAGAATAAGAACTGTTAGTCAAACATTAGACAGATCCCCCTGGTTCTCTAGCAAAACATCACCCAAAACATGCTTTTGAGCTTATTTAGGGGTGTCTGTTCTGCATCTCAATTTATGCAGTCTCATACTGTTACCAAAATAAAGAAACAAAGCTAGACCAAAAGCCCAACACATTTTGTGGGAATATGTTCTAAGTGTTAGATGTGTTAAAGGGTCATAATCCTTGGGCTTTGGGTTTATTTCTTCACATCACCCAAGTCCAGGGTTAAGTCTTGTCTTATATTTTTGATTTGTTGGAGTTGGTCAGGGAAGAGTGGAATTCTGAATTTTTTTTTAGAAAGCAGATCAATCATCTGTTTACAGTTCAGCTGTCCAAGGTTTTCCAGAGGGATCTTTGTTGAAATGCTGGAAAAAGCTATTTCTGATCACTTGATGATTTAGTTGTTTTGAGTAGTTTTTCATGCATGATGGATTTGGAGCATGTTTAGGAGGAAGTGTAGGTTGAGGGAGAACTGTTTTACTCCTGTTGGTAAAGTACAAAATTTTTTGCTTATTTAATTTCTCCCTTGTACTTACTGCATTTTCATTTTCTTCTTTTTATATACAAGTGCAAAGATTTTTGACAACTTCCAAGAAGTTTTAGGAACATTCAGGCTAATGTGAGAGAATGGATGCTTTTGTGTTTTGTGTTGTTTGATGTTTGTTTTTTTTTAACTAACCAAATATAAACATGAAATCATTTTGAGTTCATCACTGTGTGCTTGGTCAGATTCTATAGATGGAAGTTCTTGGGTACTGGCAATAGGAACAAGGCTGGCATATTTTGAAAAATACACTGAGTGTTGCTGTTCCTGGAAGACTGATTACTTTTTGAGAGTTTTGATAAATATTAATCCAATTTAAACTACTGTATATCCTTAAACTTTGTTGCAGTTCAGTGTTTGAACTAAATCACTTTGATTTCTGGTATGTAGGCCCTGCCTTTTGGCCAATTTTTTGTTGATTAAGAATGTTGTTTCATGTCCTTTTAATATGAGCCACAGAAAAATCTTCTTGGCAGCAAAACTCTCACTAATCACAGCTGTTGTATAAAATATTTAGTTAGGAATAAGTATGCCTGACTGTGATGGTATAAATCACCTCATTTTGGACACATTTTTTAAATAAGGAGACATTACTGAACATCTGCTTTAACTGTCAATTTCAGGTATGCTTTACTTGTTTAGAAATGTTGGCTGTGTGAGAGGTCAAGGCAAGATACAGTTTTGCTAAGCACAGCTTTGTGAAAAAAGTGTGACCATGATATCCTTTAATTGTTCTGTCTTTTCAAAATGACAAAACACTTGTATTTATAGCTTGAATTCAATAGTTGTGTAAGGCCAAACAAGAAACGGTGCAGATTTTGTAAAGGTATGAAGATTAGATATGACTCATTGAAAATACGTGTCTAAGATGTGAATTTGTAGTAATACGTGTTGCTTGTGATTTGTTTCTGGTGGTGTTTTCTTGAAAACCTCAAAAATGGTGGGTGTGCTGAGCTGAAGCCTCATGTAAATCTGTCTGTTATTCATTGCTTTTTGAGCAGTTAGAAATTACTGTTTTATCATGATGAGGAAAGTCACTGTGATAAAAGGGTTGGGTTTTTTTTGTTAGAGGTAGCAGCAAGTAATAGGAGAGATAATTACAAATGCTCCTCTAAAGTCTGAGATCTTGGAGCTTCTTTTCTCATTGCTCATTAGTTACAAAATCTATGGGGAGAGCAAGGATTCCTCTGAAACGCTCTGCTTGCACTCTGAGGATGATTCCTATCTACAGTAAGAGTTTCTTTATCCCTTCAGCCATATACTTCCTTAGCACAGGAAGAAAAAGATAAGTGTGCTTTGCCAAGTAGATGTCTTCAGAAAATTGGCACGCTTTTTTGTCATTTGCAGATGTGATGGATTTCCAAAGACCACGGGTTTATTTTTAAATAATTCTGTGTAATTCCTGAGACCATGATTTTCCAGATCCTTTGTTTCAGTTCAATTGCCTCTAAAATTGCTCATGATGGGGCTTCCTTCAAAGGCTATTGAGTGCTCAGCCCTAAGGCAGAACCTAAGCATGACCCAAAAGCAGGAAAATCTTTGAAATACTCTTATATCCAGCCCGTGTATTTTTTCAGGGCAAAGGGTTTTGCAGGGTCACTGTTCACATTGAGAATTATCCATCCTTGAATACAATGTTAATTGAGCTTAAGGCCTTCGATGAACTTCTAGTGCTTGACCCAGCAGCAGCCTGACAGCTCCTAGTTTGGATATCAAGACAACCACACATTTCTCAGACTTAAGATAGTATCAGGCATTTTCCTGGCAATATTGTTTAAATTATTTCAGTTATGCCCCATTTTCAAGTGTTCAAGGCCAGGTTGGATGGGGGTCTGAGCAAGCTGATCTAGTGGAAGGTGTCCCTGACTAGAGCAGGACTTTGGAACTAAGTGATCTTTAATGTCCCTTCCAACCCAAACAATTCAATGATTCTATGATATTTTTATCTAAATATATATATATATATATATTTATATATATATATATATATAATATAATATATATATAGACTTTGAAAAAAATCTTAACAGTTTTCTGGTATCTGTTACTAGATCCTTACTTTAAGGAAGAGTTGCTAGTACTTTGCTTTTCTTTGGGATGCTTTTATAATTTTTTTTCAATATTGTTATGCCACTTCTCTGATGTCAGAGTGAATGACTATAGTAGAAAATTTATTTGGAAGTATTTCCAGACAAAGTGTTTTCTTGTATGAAGATTTGGCTACTTAATGTTCCAGAGTTAAAACTATTTTGATCATCCAGTCAGTCTTCTGGATTGGAAGGCAAATGTGCTTTTTGTGTGTGTGTGGGTATTTTTTTTCACTGGTATCCCAGGACAGGCTGGGAGGGGAGGTTGGCCAGAGATGCTGGTATCAGACACCAAAGCTCTGCAAGCACTTACTGTTCAGAGAAGATTTTCCTTCCAGTAGCATTTCAGGTCATGGACTAGGAATTTTCACACTAATTTGCTCTGATAATGCTGCTTCAAGCCAAGCTGGTGTGCAGAAGTACTGGTAATGTCTTCTTGCCTTCATGAGCCATGCACAGCACCTGGCTGGGCAGGCCTTAATGCTGAGATCATAATCTCTTGATAATCATCAGGGCCCAAAGACAGTCAAACTTATAGCTCATGTGGACTGTTTGTAACTGATAAGGTTATCACAGACTTAATATGCATAGTTTTCTTTGAGATGTCTGGATTTAATGTTGAAAAAGCATTTGGTAACTGCTCTGGTGTGCACCTGAGCCAGAAATCAGTCACCAGTGCTTCCAGATTGGCAGTGATGTACATATTCCAACACACAGATGGAAGAAATACCAGCTTGAATAAAACCAGACACAGATACACTTTTATGTAGCTTGTGTGTAATAGCATGTGGCAATTATTAAAAAAAGAAGAATAAAATGCAATTTCAGTTGTTGTATATGAGAGGTAATTGATTAATTGCCAGACTGCTAAAGATAGAGGTAAATAGGCATGTACCTTCAAGCAGCTGCTTTGCTTCAAGTTTCAATGTATCTTTGGTCTGTAGTAGGAAACTTGTGGAGTAAGTTATGGTAAACATTGTGCAGGGTACAAGTAGCTACAGCATTGTAGTAAGTAAAATATCCTGCTGTTTTGGAGTGAACGTAATGAAAGGAACTAATTCTTCTTTTCCATCTCAATTCTTTTTGTAGCTGCCTCTAGTAAAAGGAAAGAAAGAGATTCTCCCACAAATTGCAAAACCAAAAATGAGCAAGTTGCAAAAAAGTCAAAAGTTAGTTATGTAAGTACTGTGCTTTTCTCTTTGTGCATTGTAAAATAAATGGAATTACCTGTCTGACTATGTGACAGTGGTGACTTTTATCAGAAAATTAAGTCAAATCATATCTTGCCATCTGAATGAGGTTTTTGTACTTTTTTAATTGTTGACATTCTGAATGAATGCTTTGTTCTTTAGAGCTTGTGTGTTTATATCACACTGGCCAGTCCACTGCTTTTGGTGGAAGTACTTGATGGCAGGTAGCAGTGTGTGAGGCTCTGAGTGGGAATTAAAGGCTCTGGATGGCTTTTCCTCCTCAGGTCATTCCTTGTATTTCCTCAAGCACATGAAGGTAACATCTTTTGGTATATCTACTGCTAGTCTTTTTTATAGATTGTACTTATATAATTGAAACTATGACTTGGGGAAATCTTTAAAAATAATGAATTGGTTACCTTTAAAAGAATGACTACTTTGACCTCTGCTAATAAATGGGAACTGTGTCATGATCCTGGTGCATTCAGGATGGTATTTGGTAGATTTGCACAGTCCTATATTGCTATTATGAAGCCATCTTCCAGGCATCCCAGTAGACATCCTTGAAAGCCACTTACATAGAGAAAGGGAATTCTACATAAATCCTGGAGGCTGGATAAGGAAGGTGACTGTTGAAATTTAGGATAATATTGTCCTCAGACAGAACCAAATAAATAAAACACAGCTCTCTGTTAAAGCAAAAATATTACAACTCATTTGTAATTCCTTCTTCCTGAAGGATAGAGGTGGTCTGGGTTTGTTCTTCCTCACCAAACCCCTGGGTTTGGTTATGAAAGGAAGCTTTAGTTAATTATTAACCAGCCAGCCTTGCAAGCAATGCTCCACCGGACCTGGTTTTATTTATCAACTTGATTTTTTTTCTTAACAATTTCATTACAATTAAAGGGGGAAGGGTTAGAAAAAACCAAACTTGGAATATGGATTTTTGGAACTCATTCTAGAAAACCGTAGTAAGAACTTGCAGGGTTTTTTTCTTAATCTTGCTTTTCCATGTGGTTCCTAAGACCAGAGCATACTTGGGCAGCTCTTCTATGAACTGTAGCTGCTGTCTTAGTGACGTTAAGGCTCACTGAGGAAAGTAATAATGTCCTCTGTTACTCAGACTGCCTCTGGGTGATCCGATTTGTACTCTTTCAACAAAGTAAATGCTGGTATCTCTTATGTAGACAAGTAGCTCTGTAACCACTTTGCATTCAAAGCTCTAGGAAGAAACTTGTGTAGTTCTTTGTGGTGAATACAAAGCAGAGCAGCTTTTGGCCCATGGAAGTTTTAGCACTTCTTAAATTCAATTTTGCCAGGCTGGTTGTAGCTGTTACGGAGAGAAACTATTGTTAATGAAAAGTCCTACCAGTTTTTGATATGACTGTGTGATGCTGTGACATAATACGTGTGGGTTTTTTTACCCATAAATTTTAATATAAACTTACCATTTAACATGTTTGTAGGCTGTGGTGTGTTAAACACCACATGCTTAGTAAGCTAATCTAATCACCAACCCTGATATCTTCTGCCTTAAGTATCATCCAGCATTGCTAATGACTTTTGATTTTAAAGCAAAACAAGCTAGACAGTTCTGAATTTTTCTTATTTTGGTATGTAACTTTGCACTGTGTATGCTTATCAAGTAAAGAGTCCCAGTTTTTCATGACTGAAGACATTACCTATATTTGTGAAAGTTTTGGTCTTTGATCATAGACTGTTGTCTAGCTTGAATTTGTTTTAAATGCCTTTGTCATTTAGAGTATCTCTTTGAGGATAAACAATGGTTTTCTTCTGTTTCTATAAGTGTAATTAATATTAAACCTAATGGGTGCCTTTTTTAACATAGCTGGATGACTCAGAACCCAAAAGACAATGGGAGAGGCAAGAGATGCTTGTGAAGAAGTTGCAAAGTACATTCCCTGGATTGGATAAGGAGGTGAGCTGATGTCTCCCTATGGCACATCAGGTTTTGAGCTCTTAAAAATACTGCAGCTGTTGATAGTCCATATGAAACAGTTCTTTTACCGACAGCACTTCCAGAAAGAGCCCAGGGTAGGAAGGCTTTTACTGTTGCTGCTTTTAGAATGTAAATTGTCCTGAGCTGAGAGCTGTGGGATGTGGTTAGGACTATTTGGAACTTCTCTTCCTACATTTCTTGCCCTATGACAAGCCTAGCATAGTCAAATTTGATGACTTATTATAAAAATGCAAGAGGAAATGATCCCTCCCTTTCTTACTCTTCTCCCCCAGACTGCTAAACATATTTAGCACTTGATATTACCTTAGTACCTGATGGTCCTCAGTGGCTACTCGAGCCCTTTCAGTACTGTGCTTGAAATTGTTGGAAGCAAAGCTTGTCCATGTGTGTTCTTACACTTTTGAAAAGTGGAGTGCAGCTCTGCCTAAACTAAGTGTACAAAGAAACTGAAGGGTCTTCTCATTTTGTTTTCCATTTTTTTTGAATAGTCTGATTTACAGGGGGTTTCTTTGATTGACATTACTAGGCACAGATATTTAGCTTGCTCTTATCTCACCACAATGCAAATGTCTTATTTTTTACTAGGAACTGAGAGAGGTACTTGAGGAACATAACTGGGTGTTTCATGATGCACTGGAGGCCCTGAAAATATTTGCAGACGACGAGGAGGGTAAAGACAGATTTATAATTCATTTTATCCAATGACAAAACAGACTTGTAATGCAAATATTTTTGAATGTTCAGCAATGACAGTCCTGACAGCACCATGCCTAGAAACCTGCAGTTTGAAATCCAGTATTACAGGGTGGATAAAAGAAGGAAGCTAAATTTTTCTATATTTCTATTTTTGCTCTCCAACTAGGGATAAATATCTTTGCCCTGCTAATACGTATAGGTATAAAAAGTTGTAATTACCTATGGGTATCTCTTAAAATATATTTTGGTACATGTCAAAGCTGATACATGCTCCTCCCTTCCTGCTTGCTTTAAAAGAAGTTTGTTTTTTAACTGCACTATTTGTAAATTACTAGTTTCCAAACCAGTAATTGCAAATAACTGTGTAGGTAACAAGTATTATATGCTATTTTGTCAATTTTAAATGTATTCTAGGAGAGCAACATACTAGAAGCAGGCCTTGAATTATGCAACCAGTCTGTAAATCCCAGTACTTTAAATGTGGCAGGGAGCAAACCCAGTGATTCCAAGTAAATCTGCAAGTTATAACTTAAGTCCTATTTAATGAGTTGATTATTTTCCAGTGTGTTACACAGCTGTCAGATATGTACATGTTTTGCTGTATCAGCTATTTAAGTGTTCTTGGGACAGGGTAGTGTTCTTAATTGGATTCTTTACAAGTGGAGAGAGCTAACAGTGTTCAGGAAGTTGTGTCCTTGCTGCTGCTTCTGAGAAGGCAAATGTCAGGGTTGGACTCAATCAGCAGCAAGCTGGGATGGGAGAGAAGAGAAACTTTGTACTGCAAGTGCTCTCTAGCAGTGAAGGAATCTAAACCCTTACAAGGCACTTCTGAAAATTACTTGCTTGCATTCAGTTAAATACCTTCTGTCTTATTTTAAGGCAGCTGAGTTATTTTGGTTGGAGATGCCTCATTATTTGAGGGGGTTTTTTTAGCAAATGCATGTTTTCATTGTTCCACCCTGAATCATGTACTACAGTGCACTGAAATGGAAAAAATGTATCATTTTCTTGGTGAAAGAAGGCTTGTTTTCTCAAGTCAGCAGAAGTAATATCTGCAGTCAGGGTCAGTGGGACCAGTATCTCATCTTAAGTTCTCATCAGAGTTCTTAGCTGTTTGCTCTAATTCTGAGCTTCTGCAGCTCACAAATATTGCATTATGTTGATCATCTGTATTTTAAGATACTTGAAACTTTCTGCTATTTGAGTATTATACAAATGAGCTTTACTTACCTTGTACTCGCAGTTAGAGCTATTTACATATTTTATACAGATTTGCTTTTCTGTTCTCTTAGGATCACCTGCTTTGAGTTCTTGTATATTAAATATCAGAACTGTGTTTTATAGAGCTGTAGGTTTTATTTTGGAAGAACAATTTGTGTTTTCATCAGCCCCATACCAATATGCATTGACTTGTTACCTTCTGTGTTGCATGCGTAGGTATGGAATTTCCTCCCAAAAGGAATGTTGCTGACTGGACCGAAGCCTCTACTAAAACCCAAAGTGAGGAGAGTAAAGATAAGGTGAAACAGAAAGCTTCTGAGAGAGAGCAGAATGGCTTTCAGAAAAAGGACAAAGTCAAAAGGAGCATTTGGAGTGCTGAGAGAGAAACAGAACATGTGGAGGATGAGTCCTCTTCTGAAGACGGTGGAAGCTCCCTGGATGAGGACTACAGCAGCGGTGACGAAGTGATGGAGGATAGCTACAAAGCGAAAATCCTCAGCTTCCTGCAGGATGCTTCCCTGAGTGAACTGACTCTGATTCCCCAGTGTTCTCAGAAAAAGGCTCAGAAGATAATAGCGCTCCGGCCCTTTAACAGCTGGGAGGCTCTGGTAGGTCTGCATTCTTCCTTTCCTATCCCCTGCCTGCCTAGAGTCAAGGTGGCTTCAGCCTAGGGAGGCTTAGATGGGTGGCCTTATCCTCATTAGGCTGAAATGCTATGTTCCTCCTAAGCCAATAGCATTTCAAATAGTGTCATATGACCTGATTTTGAATGAATTAAGGGGTGATTTTTCTGGAAAACTCAAGCTGATTGGCTGACATTACTGTCACTCACTCTGTAGCATAGAAAGTTGGTTGATTTCGCTGCAGAAGGAGAAATTAGAGCTTTCACTTGAGAAGGAGGTGTTTGCTAGCCTGTTCTGAGCCCCTGTAGCTGAAAACCCATGCAGGAGGGAAGAATGGGGCAGGACCTTTACTGCAGACATTTGTGCAGCAGCAGCAGCAGCAGCAGCTTCCAGGGTTGCTCCATGATTGAAGAAGCCAGCATGGATATTTTCAGTTTCAGGCAAGAAATGGTCATTCTCTTTTTTTTCTTTTGTGCTTTTATTCTACTTCAGCTTAGTGTCTAGCATGGTTTTGCTAGCTGAGCAATGCAGCCATTTTTAGTGGAATGAGCTGCCGTTTTTATTAATGAAAGGTAAAGCATCAGAAGGCTAAGCCACAATCCACCACAGAAGGGAAAACAGTGTCTTGTTGGTAAGTACATTATCTACTGTCGCTTTGTTGTTACTTTCAGATGTTTACCATGGCTTGTTTGTAGACTTCACATTTCATACAGTTTTAACTGCAAGACCTCAGACCTGCTAAGAGCAATGTCCTGGTAAGAAATTTGAAATGCATTACAGCAGATTCTTGATTTAATTTTTTAGTGCTTTGGATTTTAAAGCAGTAACTGTGCACAGGCCTTTTAACAGAATAATTTGGTGTTTTTTTATCAGTGTGCCTTCTGAACCCCCCTACTGATGTATGCAAGAACTTTTTCAATATTTGTAAAGCAACAACATTTATTATTCAGTGTGTGAAATATATTACCACAAAAGAATAAGGGATACTAAATCGAATTTTAAGAAAAAAAAGTGATCTTTGTGTGTTGTGTTGTAAGGGGAGGGGGGAAGACAAGAGGACGATATGTGAAAAAAAACAATGTACTGGTATGCTGCAAAAGAAATCCGTTTTGCCCCAAGCCTTTGGCTTCTCACAGAACATCTGTCATACATCTATTACTTTCTAAACTTGTTGGATTTTGTCTGAGCTTAATTCTTTGCAGAAGTATTTGCTACAGGGCTCTTCTCCTTTTCTATGTTAAATATTTTACAGTTAAAAAAACGCTGCATGGGCCTGTTTGCATTCAGAATTTGTCTTTCACAGATTGCTGCTGTCAGCAGCCACATGTTTATGTAGTATTGTGAATACTTGCCCAGAGTAGAAGTGGTTTGCAGCAGATTTTAGCAGATGTTTTATATCAGTGTGGATTTAATTGTTTATAAAGATTCAGTAGCTCAGTAACCTAGTGTTTTTCCTACCAATTAAATAAGGATGGTTAGAATAATGGGGAGAGCCGATTCAGTTAAAGCATTAAAAAAATTGGTTTAGTTTTGAATCTCTTTACTGTAATGGTATCTTGTGTAACACAATGTGAAGTACAAGTTGTTACCACTTGTTCATTATTAGAATTAAGGAAGATATTAAGACTCTCAGTCTGAGATTAAAACTAAAGCCTACTTATTTGTAAATTGGATGTTTTATTCCAGGAAAATATAAATGAGATTGTCTTTTTTATTCTACATGAGTTTTTTTAAGTTGGACTAAGCTATTTTGTTTCAAAGAGGATTTAAATTAATTTCATAAGCTCATAAGGTTAATAAGAGCACTTGGAAATACTCTTTGAGGTTGACATTTCAAGTGTTTAACGCATAGGAAAACATTTACTAGGCAGGGTTGTCAAACTAAAAGGAGAGAGCTGAAATTGTCGTTGCTCACAAAGATTAATTCATTTGGCAGTTTAGAAATGCTTACACTGTAGGTCAAGTACATTTTCCAGGAGGAAACCTGGAACCTTTTCTTAATATCCAACGTCAACTTTCCCTGGCACAGATTCAGGCCATTTCCTCATGTGCTGTCCCTAGTCACCACAGTGAAAAGATCTCTGCTCGCATCTCTGGTTCCCCTTGTGAGAAAGTTGTAACTGCAGTGAGGTCTCCCCTCAGTCTCCTGTGTTGGCTTCTCACCCATCTCTCACCTGTTTGCTTTGAGATCCCGATGATACCCCACTGGCATACATTGTGGGCCAGCAGACAACATGATTACTTTCCTTCATGGAAGCACTTCTGGGCACCAATTGCCCTTCCTCCTCATCTTAACTCCTCTATAAAACTTGCTGGCGTTTAATTATATTTTAAGAGTGCTCTCATTTCCCAACTGTGGAATTGCCCAGTGTTGGAAATGGCAGCACTCAGTGCTGTTTCTCAGCAGAGAGGCTGTGAGCACAGTCACATAAGGGGCAGTACCTGCCTGCTTTCACTGTGTGCCAAGAAACGAAAGCAGAGCCTAGACTGGCTCCCAGAGGAGCTGAGCTGAGCTTTTGGGGTCTGGGTTGGTTGCACTTTTCTGCTTCTTCTGGTAAATGTGGGAGAGGAACTGGATAGGGTTTAATGCTGTTCAGTTTCTTTTTTTTTTTAGGTGTATAACTGTTACCTGTTTGGATTCCTTTTAGTGTAAAAACATATGTATTGGTGTGAGACTTGCTGTATCCTCTCATTTTTGTTATTCACAGTATTACTCTATCACAAAATACGCTGTCTTACTTAGCATTTAAAGCCTTCATGGTCTACAGAAATTCTTACACAATACACACAAGTTAAGCAGATGGGAAGTGTTACATTGAAATGCTGACACAAGTACATCCCTTTTAGGGGAATGGGAGAACTGAGCTGTCAGAGGTGAATGTACTTGTCCGTCATATTCGGTACACTGCAGCAGTATGAGCTAGGAGGTACAGACTCAAAGGCGAGCAGCTCCACCTTTTTTGTCAATTTGTTTACCTGCACGTGTACAAACTGCCACAACAACCAAACTCCAGAACCACATTGCACCAAAGCCAGCTGAAGGAAGCAGCAAATGCATCAAGTTAGCAATGGGAAACTGCTTACAGTGGAATGATCGAGGCTGAGGCTGACATTCACCCTTAGGCATTAAAGGGAAAGCCTTCATCATCTTGCAAGTGGTGTAAAGTAAGCCCAGCTAGAGTGTGCTGTTGTGGCAGTTTCAAGTGTGCTGGGAAAACTCATGGGTTCAGTTTCCATGATGGTCTCACATTTTTGGGGCTCATTTGAAAAAAGCTGAACTTGGGAGGATGTCAGAACCTCGAGAAAGTAAATGCCACCCATGCATCTGCTTTGAGTTCTGAGCAGGGTAACACCCTGTGTTTCACATGCAAACCAGTGGCTAAAGTGTTTCTTGTTGCAACTTGGATGTGGATGTTAATGTGCTGACATGAAACAATACAATTTCTGTTAATAACAGATGGCTCAATTCTCCACACCTTTATTTATGGATTACAGGATTTCTATTCATGCCAACCAAAGCTTTAGTCATCAAAACAAATGTTGAAATTTTGTAGGGACCTATTAAAACTGTGTTCTTTTTTGTTTCTAAATAGAGGTGTCTATTTAGAAAATTTCTTTACAGGTGTTGAAATGTGCCCCTTAGCCTGGTCTAACCTATGAGTGTTGGTAAACTTTCTGGGGTTTGTTTAAAAAATACAAAAAAAAAAAGCATACCCCCAAACTGTAATTACCTCACTCTCTTTATTTTAAAGATATTTTTCTAATGAAAGCTGTTTTCAAATTTTATTTTTAATCTGGTTATAGTCTCCACCTTAACAAAACTTGCTTTTACTCTGCAATGTGGCAATATTGGTGAGTTACTTAACATGTAATAGCTGGATCACTCCTGTTTTTATGGAAGGAATTCTTGGAGGATATATATATGAAGTCTTGTGCTAAATTTAGATTTTAAGGTCTAAAATTCAGAAAAATCTGTGTGAAAACTACTTCTGTTTTAATACAAGAATGCTGAATCCAAAGCAGCTTGTATTCTTCAATTCTTTAAATCCATTAATAAACAATAAAAAGCCTGTTCTTTACAGTGAAATATGCATAACCACTCAAGAAAATAACTACAAATATGACTCCAGTTACTGCAGAAATATATTTAGTGGTAGGTTTTACACTTTCTGCAGGTGGCTCTATATGGAATTTAGGAGAAATCAATGGGCCTGAGGGGCCTGTTTTGATACAACTTGAGGCTGCTAGTCTCTGTCATGTAAAATATTCATACTGTGATGAAGACCAAAATTTAGAGGAAGGAGGTACACTGTGTGTATAGTGTGGACTTGAAGAAGCCAGTGGTGGAAGTAAGGCTTCTATGTGCTGACAGTACTTGGTGACCACAGAAAACCTGGCACAATGCTAAAGTTCACTTTGACTACCTTTGTGGTAGAGTTAAGTCTGGAACCAAGTAATGCTGAGCCCCAGACAGACCCGTAACAAAATGTAGTAATCTTCATTATAGGCTCATATGTTTGCCTTGATACCTACATTATGCATCTTCTACCTTTAGTATCTAATAGGGTTTGTTTAAAAGGGCATCTCAATGAGAATGAGTGCCTTTTTTTCCTTCCTTGTGGGGTTTTGTTCTGGTAGTGTGCCTGGCCTTCAAAGCTGGCCTTTGCACTGTATTTTGCCTCCTGTTAAGGATTTTGAGTTTAAAGCACTTGTAGTTTGTTAGAAACTCTTCAGAGAATTTTTATCACTTAAGATTTCAAGTTCTGTAATTTGAGAAGCTGCAATGATGACCTTCAGTGTGGATTCACATATTTTGCAGAGGGCCAAGTCTTTGGAATTTTGAGAGAAGATTGGGATGCTGTTTCTGTCTCCTGCTTGAATTACTGCCTGCAGCAGCTGTGGATTTTCATTGCAACTGCTATTACCAGTGTTCATGGACTTTTTTTTTATTATTATTTTGCAGTTTACTAAAATGACAAAGACTTCTGGTTTGTCAGAAGATATAGTGTGGAACTGCAAGATACTGCTGAAGGAGAGGGATGTGGTTCTAAAGCTTATGAATAAATGTGAAGATATTTCCAATAAACTGACAAAACAGGTAACCAGGATTACTAGAGATGGAGAATGTGGATGGAACATAGAGCAGCCCTCCATTCTGAATCGCAGGTATCTCTTGTTTTTATACTTTAGAAGGGTGTTGGACACTAAGGTGTGCTTGAAGACTGGGATTTTCAGAACTGTAGTCTGAAAGTAGAGTTGCAGATTTTTTGATACTTAGTAGCTCTCAGTGAGCTGGGTAGTGATGTATAACACCTTATAGAATCTAACAGATTTTTTTAAAGTGTATCAGGAAAGCTGGTGGGCAGGATCAGAGCATAAAAAATTAGAACAGCGTTTTATTTCCTCCAATTTCTGGTGAATGTAACAACCAACCTTAAGCAATGGAATCATGAGTTGTCAACTTATTTCAAATAAAAACCAAAGCAAACCTGTGTCTGCAATGGGGGACAGATTTCAAGTAGGATTTCATTGCAAAAATGCCAAGTTGGAACAAATCTGAGCAAACTGGGCAGGTTTATCAGACGGATGAAAGACATTTGTCAGGAATTTCAGGTGTACCAAGTAATTTGAAACTCTGTATCCAGTCGTAGTGGCAGCTGGGGTGTGTTGTGGGCAAGGATTTCTTTCAGAGAGTTAAATTGGCAAGGACCTCCAAATGGATATTAGGAGGAATAGATATGGATATAGTTGAGGGTATTATTCTAAGGGTTAAGAAATGTAGGGTTGTAGTGGGAATGGCCAAAGTAGCAGCTAGAATTCCAGCTGGAAGCAGAAGATTCTCAGCTGTGTGAAATAAAACCTGGCAGGAAACAGGAAGTCTTAGGAGGAAGGATGTCAGTGATGCTTCTTCTTTGGAAGAAGCGCTAAACTGGATGACTTGCTGTTGAGTGTGTTTTGGTAGGTTATATGTTTGGGTTTTTCTTTGGTGCTGATACAAACAGTAATTGTACAACAGTACAAAATCAGGGATGTGACTGCAAAATGCCACTTAATTCATTGTGTAGTTTAGAAATTAGTAGTTCTGTAACTGCTTTTATCTGGTTGTGTGTCACTGATGATAGAAGAGAAGTATTTCTTGTGTCACTCAGATCATTTTAGGTCTGTGAAAATGCAGATAAGCAACTCAGCTTGTGTACAGGTGACTGATAAAGAAACTTGTATTTTTCACTACATAAAGAAGTCTGGAGTGCATTAAAATAAAGCCAGTGTTAAACCTGCCATAAGTGTAAATAAAGTTGTGTTTTATGGAGAAACAAATAAAAGGTGGTAATAAGCTTGATTGTTCTTAACAGTTTGAAACTGAAGCCATATCAGAAGATTGGTTTGAACTGGTTAGCACTGCTGTATAAGCACAGATTGAATGGCATCTTGGCTGATGAAATGGTAAGTATCAAACTGCTTATTTTAGAATCGTTAAAATTTTGCAAGAAAGAGCCTGTTAAATCCTTGCCTAGAAACCTCAGCAAGATAAGTAATCCTAAATTGCAAACAGATTTCCAAGATCTTAGAAGCTGCTGAACTCCTTTCCATTTGGAAATTAAAGGTAGCCTAAGATTCTTGAGCACTTAGAAGTTACATGGTGTCTTCTGATGCAATGGAACCGGTTTCTACCACAGCAGTTATTTTCAAACCATTGAGTTTAACAGCTCCTTGCTCAAAATATAATTTGTTCTACTTATCCTGCATTTAGTGTAGTGAGCCCCATTTCTTTCTATAGTTTTCTCCATTTCTTCGTTTCCAAACAGGCAGATAACGATACAGGAAAAACCAAGTGGGTGGTAGAAGCCTTCTCTGCTTCTCCAGAAGAAGCATTTCCACCATCTCTTGTCATGACACTCCCCACCAACTTTGAGCTAAGAGAGACAAGCTTATGGGTTTGAGGTTTTGTTAAATGCTGACAACTGCCTGTAGTTGTACAATGGAAAAAACTTACTGATGCAGCTGCTGAATTTGTGGTCTGTTGTTTTTAATCCTGGCTGCTGTTGTGACTTCTGATGAACCATGAATGAACACACTGCTTTGCCTTACTGTGATTTAGGCAGTGTTTCTCAACTTCTGTATGTTTCATGTTAGTAAGAATATGGGTGCTTTGTGGTAGATGCATAAAATTTAATTCATGATGCAGAAAACAGGAAAAGTGAGTGTTGGTGGAAATGTAGGCTTATGTTTAATCTGATTCTCATATTAAATTCCACTTCAGAAATAGCTGGAATACTCTTTGTACAACTGGATCAAATGGAAATAAGCATTTAGTTTCCAAGTAATCATTTTTCTGCACCATTGGTTCAGGAAGGTAAATTTTTGGAGATTATTTGAGGGATGAACTTGAACTAAAATGAAAGACTTCATTAATTGAAAAGATCAATCTTTGTTCATTTATTGAGCCAAATGATAATGAAGTTTGACTGAGGTTGTACTTAAGAAGGAATCGTCTTCTGTAAAATTGGTTAATCAGAACAAATTTTCTAATCAGATTTCTCATCTTTACTGGGCCATCACTACACTGTAATTTTCTTATGAGTTCAAAACTATTTTATGTCATGCAAATTGTAAATTTTGTTTAAATGGATTTATTTTCTCTTAGGGCTTAGGGAAAACAATTCAAGCTATTGCATTTCTGGCTTATCTTTACCAAGAGGGCAATAAAGGTCCCCATTTGATAGTTGTACCAGCTTCAACATTAGGTAAGTTACAACCTTCAAAAATATTTTTATTAGGGGAAAAAAAACCAAACCAATCATGGACGTATTATAAAGGAAAGATAATTTAATGAAAGAAACTTTGATTTGCTTATGATGGTACTCAGCTCCTTAAGTCATTTGAATTGGAATGCAGACCATACTTCAGGCATGCTTGTTCTGCATTAATTAGACTTAGCATGGAACCTTTTTAGATTATCTGTCTGCTTCAAAAAAAATGAAGCTGCTTGTTATAATCTGAACTTGTGTAGCAAAGTTGTTTTTTTACTTATTGAATATTGGCTGAACTTGCTAGTCTCCAGGCTGTGCTTAGGGTTAAGTTTCATGACATTTTAAACATTCACTGTCTTTTTTCGTGTTTACTGCATGGCATCTATCAAAGCAGATGAAAATCCTAAAATGATGAAGTTGTCTTTTACTTGTGTGTTCTGATTGTTTTATGGCCTCAGTTGAAATTGGAAAGAGTATAGTGGAATGAAATGTTAGCAAAATGGATGAGATTGAGCAGAGAATGGTTCCTGATGGAGTAAAATTTGGATTTGTTGAATGATGGGGGAAGTAATAAGATGAATTTAGAAAGTAAATGCTGCTTTTAATATAAAATACTTATTTGGCTTCAGAAATTTCTCTAGATGCATCAGAAAAGTTTCCAGTTATACAATTTCATTTTGAAATCCTCATTTTTAGTGTGCTTTCAAACTTCATTGGAACCCACTTTTTAAAACAACTCTTAATTCATATATTAGTTAAAACCTGAGGCGTACGTAAGTACGTGAACAAAGGTGCTTTTGTGAGGTTAGTCTTAGAGTCCCAATTGTAGAGGCAGGTTGGCAATGCCTGGGCAGTGCAGTCTGCTGGCAGTTTTCCTGACATGTTTCCAGAGCTGTCTTCTCACCCCTGACCTGCGGTCCCTCCCCTTCCCAAGTGGCATTTAGCAGCATCCCCCTTCTGCTGTGGTTTCGAGTCAGCATTTGTGTTGGCTGTCAAGCAGCTTCCCCTGGGGCACAGCAGTGTTGCCTGTGGCCACTGTGGTGCTGCACACCTGGAGCTGCACAGCCGGGACGTCAGGCCTCTGCCTGCTCCCAGAGGCACTGTCTCTCCTGGTGATATACTTCTGCAGGCAAGTACTGACAGATTAAGTGATTTGCTTTCTGGGGATTTAACTGTCTAGGGAAGAAACCAAGCTACAAAATTACACATTGTATTTATTTCACACAGTGGTTACAGATGGTGCAGGACCTGTTTCTGCAGGAGTTTGAAGAGCAAACTAGTTGAGTTACTAAAGCTCAGTTGGGGTTGACTCAGTTTCTTACTTATCAGTTTTCCAGTATTAAGATGAAATGTCTCTTAACCTTCAGGAGAATTTAAAGGGATTTGCATTAAAATCAGATGCTGAGGTATGAAACAGCAAGACATAATAAAGTATAAATGACTTGGGTTTTGTTTTAATGTTGTTTTTACAGATAACTGGATAAGAGAAGTTCATCTGTGGTGTCCTGAACTGAATGTCCTCTTTTACTATGGTGAGGAATCTAGTTAAGAAATTAATCCAGTAATGCAGTTGCTTGCATGGCCAGTGTAAGAAAAGACGAATTGGTCATGGCAGTGCCGTTATAAGACAGTTGTTGAAGTACACAGGTTTATTGAGGAGTGATTTCTCTGCAGTGTCTTTAATTGTTACATGCATATAAGTATATATAATTGTAGTCATTTTATGTTTTGTCTTTCTTTAGGATCCCAAGAAGATAGGAAACATCTCAGGTTGGACATTCACAATAAAGTAGTTGATTTCAATGTGATTGTGACTACGTAAGTACAGTTAAAACACTACAAATGGGAGCTTTAGTGAGGTCCTGCTGACCTCTAGTGGTACAAGAAACCAAACAATTTTAGGAGTTGGGTTTCGGATAATGGTTAACTAGGGTTTTATGATTATGTAAGAGATGCTGTGTCATAGGTGTTTTAGATATGTGTCTGTCAGCATGTATATTACAGATAATATTACATTGTAATAAACTTCAGCAGATTTTTAGCAAGTGTTATTGAGAGCATTGGCTTATCAAGTAAACTGAAATAATTTGCCAGTAATAAACTGTGTTGTGGTTAGTTACTTCCAGGGTGTTTTACTGCCCCTCATGTACTTTCTCCGTAACTCTTAATGATATTAGAGAATTTAATTTGATTGTCATAACAGCACATTCATTTTCATAGAGACTTCATGCAAGTGATATTTGTTTCTGACAGATACAACTCTGCAATGAGCAGCTCAGATGATCGAGGACTGTTCCGCAGGCTGAAGCTTAACTATGCAATTTTTGATGAAGGTCATATGCTCAAGAACATGAGCTCTATCCGCTACCAGCACCTCATGACAATTAATGTAAGAAGTTTAATTACTCCTGGGATAGAGGGGACAGCTCCTGGGTTTTGTGTTGAGTAGTTAAAAGCAGGGGGAAAATGGAGTATTAACTGTAACATTTAAATACATGTAACTTGAGAGGAACTACAGCATGCAAGTGGATTTAAGTGTTGGTGTGATCTAAGGAGTGGATCCTGCACTGTGATCTCTTCTGGGACATAATCTCCCAAAGAAATGTAATACATTTCCTCTACCATCATTACAATGATGGTATTGCTTGAGTTTCAGTATTAAGCAAATTCCCAGTTACATCCCATAGTAGTAAAGATTTTAAATATGCTATTCTGATTACTTGTGCTAAAACCTTGTTGTACTTAAAGACTTGCTCTGCTACGGCTATGTCAGAAGAGCCAGCTTGAAAATATTTTTCTTGTGGCTTACAGCCTGAATAAGTGGAATTTTGAAAAATATTTGAGTACAGCTCTTTGTCTGAATATTTTGATCTAGCACTGTAGTATTTGTACAATAATAATAAACTTAAGATCACTTACTGCAATATACTTTTCAAGATCATATTTTCATCAATAGCCTTTTTTAAAAGCCAATCTTTAAAACTTGCTTGTACTTACAATTCAAAACTTAAGTACTTAAGTGCTTAAGTACTTAAGTGCTTAAGTACTGTATGACATTAGAGAACTTGATATGGGAGCAGCAATTAACATAGTCATCAGGAATACCCCAAAAAGAATACCCCAAACAATAAAAAAACCCACCAACAACGATAACCGAAACCAAGCCCAAACAGAGCAATCAAGCAGAAGCCTAATAGATCTAGGAATGATTTTTTAATTGTCTTAAATTTGATGCCCAGCTCCCCACAGATCTGTAAACAGTTTTGTTGACTTAAGAAGGAAATTATTCCATGAGTTCAAAATATATAATAAGTTTAAATAGTTATAATTTAAAGCAAGCTCATTTTCTCACTTCTCCATAGCTGTGGGGTTTTTTTTGCCAATAATATTTTTAGCCTAACAGATCTTTCTCATTGCTCTTTCCACTTTGGACAAACAGGCCAAGAATCGCTTGCTGCTAACGGGGACTCCAGTTCAAAATAATCTGTTGGAATTGATGTCCCTCTTGAATTTTGTCATGCCCCATATGTTCAGCAGTAGCACTAGTGAAATTCGAAGGATGTTCTCTTCAAAAACAGTGAGTGCCATGAATTCTCTTCTTGAAAATAACTTTTATTTTTGCTAGAAGACTGCTATTGCTGCATAACTTCTGTTTTATTGGTGTCTTATGTAAAAAGGTAATGCGATTGTAAAAATCTAGAAAATTAAACAATTGAGTAAACCTTTTAAATTAAAATATCCTGTAACAGGATATCTTGGAATATTAATGGTCAGGTCAAGTATGTCTGTTTTGGTTGGGGTTTTCACCAGGTTAGAGAAGTTAAGGTGGTGGTGGTGTTACGGCTGAAAGCTTCACACTGCAATTGAATTCTTTCAATGTTTTCCTTAGAAAACTGCTGAAGAACAAAGCATATATGAGAAGGAGAGAATTGCACATGCAAAGCAGATAATAAAGCCATTCATCTTGAGAAGAGTAAAAGATGAGGTAACCTTTTATCTTTAGAATGATGGGTTTGTTTTATCAAAAAGCCTGATAATCTCTGAGACCAACACTATAATATGAGATGAAATTACTGGTCTTAAAAAATATTAATGGGCACTTGCAGACTTCAGTGGTCTGAAGGGGGTAATGCTGATTAGCAGGGGAGTAGATCCCAAGTATTGCATATAACAAATACCATTTCATTCACTTCTGGAGTGTGCAGACCATGTTACCTGATGGGGAGGTTGATGTTATAATCTATGTCAGGACCTGAGTTGAATTGCTGCCTGAGTTAGTGAAGTTGCAAGTGATGAAAGCAGCTGGCATGAGGAGAATTAACAGATTATCATAACAGCTACAAGACAATGCAGAATTACTGATGGTTCACAACAGTACAGGTTTTATCTGGTATCATTTGGTTTTGTCAGGTCCTTAAACAGCTACCTCCCAAAAAAGATCTCATTGAACTGTGTGCCATGTCTGAGAAACAGGAACAACTCTACTCGGCTCTTTTAAACAAGCTCAAGAAAACCATTAACAGTAATGGTATGTAAGGACCTTGTTTCCTTGTGGATTTTATCATGCTGAGATGTATGTGGAATGTGACTACAGTCTTTGCTTTGTAGAAATGTTTAACACTCATAAACTGTCTATATCCCTTCTATGATTTTTTTTGAAGTTCAGGTAATAGGTAAATTTTCAGATTGAGTTCTTGCAAACAAAGATCTGCTGAGAGATAAAGGTGTTTCAGATGGTTCTTCTAAATAGTAGTACAAAGATGCCTTCTTTGCTTACAGAGAATAACTCCAATATGGGAAATGCAATGATGCAACTTAGAAAAATGGCTAATCACCCTCTTTTGCATCGTCAGTATTACACAAATGACAAGCTCAGGACAATGTCTACCCTCATGCTCAAGGTAAGGGGATTAGATTCAGAAGCAATCCTTCATTTCTCAGGATTTCTAATTCAAACTTGTTTCTTTGTGTGTTTTGTTGTCAGGCTTCCAGTCAAAAATGTCTTAATTCACTGTTGTTGCTTTTTATTTCTCTGCTTTTTATTTCTCTCTTTATTTTACTGTAGGTGTTGTAACACTGATTTTTCTATCATAAGAATGGAGCGAACAATTGTGGGTCTGCAGTCATCTCCTTTTCATAAACTCCGCCTTAGCACCTCTTCCCTCCACCCCAGCATTTAAAGCTAGAGTGTTTATGGAAAAAATCCTAGCTGGGCACTTGAGTTTAGTAGCTTTCTGAGTAGCAAGAACTGAGTAGTACAGAACTAAAATAGGGAAAGCCTAAGTATTGATCTGTTATGGATTTTTTTAAAAATGTATATGGGGTTAATGCCTGAGGAGCTTAGGGAAAATTGTTGCTGGTTTCTAAAATATATTAAAAAAAAAAAAATCTCATTGTGCTGCAGGTGCTCTAAAAAAGTTGGAGCTGGCTTTGAATATTCTTCAGCTTTGTTTTAAGTGAAGCCAGACAAGGCTGGGGAAGCAAGAAGTGACCCATTAGTTTATGAAGGATTTTTGTTCCTTTTTTACTCCCATACCATCGTACCGTCCAGATATGGCTTTTTCTTTCTTCCTGTCATGATACCCCTCTACCCACCCTACATCGTGGGCTGGGCTTTCCATGTCTTCTACCATCTATCCAAGCATTGGACCTCCCTTTTAGGGAATGTGTCTTCAGGGGAAGAGGTATCATTAAAGGGGTAAAAGGTCTTAGGGCTTGATGGGAAGTAGGTAATTGTTACGAAGGTTTAGCATATCCTTCTTAAGTGTTCGGCAGTATAAGTGCTTTAAGAGCTAAACCGCGAATGATCCTCACCTATAAACCTGAAGTTGAGAGTTCATCTTTTATTGCTTGCACTGCTTTCAATGCTTGCTTGCATTTGTCCACATCTAGGTTGTGTTATGTTTTTCTTGCAGAAATTATGGATGTTACTGTGTGGTGTTTTTGTTTAGTTTCTTGGTGAGATTGTGTATTGCATTATTTCCCTTCATTTTTGCTAATAGGAACCCACACATTGTGATGCTAACCCTGACCTTATCTTCGAAGATATGACAGTAATGACAGATTTTGAGCTGCATGTTCTTTGTAAGCAATATTCTCACATCAGTGACTTCACGTTAGACATGGATCAGATCCTGGATTCTGGGAAGTTTAGAGCATTGGAACGCATTCTCTCCAACCTTAAAGAGAAGGTATTGCAGATGGCTGAAGCTTTTTCCTGTCTAAAAAGTGGCTCTAAATAACTGGTTAAATTAATATCTGCCAGCTCTGTATGCAACCCAGTTGCTTTGCTGTGGAGTTTTACAATGTAATTTAGCGCACGGGCAGAATTGCAAAGCAGCACTTAAAGCTTTTAATGTGCAGTGCTGAGTATGCACCTCAATTTAGAGACAGCTGAAATAAATTTTCCCAGTTTTCCAAGTTTCAGAGTATTCATCCCAAGTTAACTACGCTGTTAATATATGGGGTCCTGCATAATTTTCACACCTCATGGACTTGGACCTTTTTTTGGCAATTGAATAATTGTATTACATTAGAATAATCATGCATGTGTTAAGCCAGTGGAAAGGTAAGAGGAGGTTCCAGCTTGAAGTCCTGCCCTGAGATTCAGACAGGTTTATTTTGCAAATAAGCATATACCATATTCCTTCAGGGTATCCTGAATTTGTGCAGGTGGGTGCTGTGGATCTGACTATTTCAGACAAAATAGGGCTACTCTGTGCATTACATGAATTATTTAAATTTAAGTTTTGAATGAAAGTATTTTGATGTTTATGGATGATGTGATCTGTCATTTATGCATTTGTTTGAGTCACCTGAGTACAAAGTAATTAAAATATCACTGCAATAACAGACAGTGATTTAATGCAGCAGAATTACTGGATATGCAGTCTGCACTGAAAGTCAATCCTGACGATGATTTTCAGCTTGGTCTTTTATTTTGGAAAACAGGGATTCTATGAAAGTAAAATCACATATTTGCATCAATAAAGAATTACTGTTCTTCATAGTTGACGTGTTTCAAAATTTTTGCTTTGCTTTATCCTTTCCAGGGTGACAGAGTTGTGTTGTTTAGCCAGTTCACGATGATGCTGGACATCTTGGAAGTTTTGCTAAAACACTGGCAACATAGATACCTCAGGCTGGATGGAAAAACACAGATTTCTGAGCGGTATGTGACTCTTGCCAAAAATGAGAGAGAGGAAGCTAATGTGTTGGAAAGGAGGAGGTGACTTTGGACCCTTGCCTTTGTTTTCCAATCTGTAGAAGTCTGTGCTCACTGGACATTGACCATAGAAGGTGTTTAATGTTGAGTTTCAGATCACCTTTGTAAGGGTGAAGCTGAAAAATGATGTTTAGGTGGTGAGTCTAACAGTCTTACCCATGGGAATGAAGAATATGTGTCTTCAGCAGTTCCTGTTGTGTTTGATTTGTGTGTCACCATGTCATAACACCTGTAGCTATTCCTTGGAAGTGGAGTGTATCTCTTTTGCAAGAGGCAGATACACTCCTTTGTTTCTCTAGGACAAACCATTCTGTCTGTCCCTGCAGCTGAAAATGTTGCAATGCTTTTCTTGTTTGGGCTGAGCTGGTTTTCTGCCTCAATTTTTTTACGCATTTTCCTTCATTTCAAAAAACTGTCATTCTTGCTGGGGTGTTCGTTCCCATGTACAGCTGATGTCTGTTTCTGACCTTGCATTTGTGATTGGTACAGAAGATTGTCTTGAAGCAAAATTCATTCCCTGCCTCCCCATTTGTTTCATGTGTTCCAGTCTTCCATTGTCCTCCAACTGACTCTGTGTTCTGTGATCATCAGAAATCTTTTTCTAAGCTTGTTTCCACTCCTTGCTATCCATCTGTCACTCAGTATGTTTTTCTGGTTACTGCAGAGGACTGTTGGTACCCTTTTTCCTGCTGTGTAACATCTGTACTTTGGAGTTGCTGTGCAGTGCTGCTGTCCTCTTTTCCAAAAGATCATCCCAACTTCTGTGTTCAGCTCTGGAGCCAGTGTGGAGTGTTTTCCAAGCCCTGATGCATGGTGTCTTGTGTTCTGCAGGATACACCTGATAGATGAGTTCAATACAGATATGGATATATTTGTATTCCTTCTGTCCACCAAAGCTGGAGGCTTGGGCATTAATCTGACCTCAGCCAACGTTGTTATCCTTCATGACATTGACTGCAACCCTTACAACGATAAGCAGGCTGAAGACCGGTGCCACAGAGTGGGGCAGACACGGTAAGGCTTTTTTTACTTATAGTGCTTGGTTTTCTTGGAGGCAAGCTCTCAAAGGAGGCTAAAAGGACTGTATTTATGATTAAAAGTTTTAAGCAGAGACTTGTGTAGAGTAGCTCTGGGTTGCGTGGGAGCTAGGAACTGTAGTTGTCTTGGTCCATGTTGTTAGCAGAACACACCTTTATTTACACTTTCCTCCTTTTCCTAGTTCACTATAAGTCTCAAACTGTGCATAATTCTCAAATTTCTGGTGCTGGGAACTATTCCAAGGTAGATCTGAAGTCTTTGGGACTGGCAAAGCTGTTTGTTCTCTTCAGGAGAATTCTAAGCTTTTAAGTGCCACCCTAACGTAAAGAGTGAAACCATAGAATGTGTGTAATTTTAGCTGTACTCAGTGGTAAAATGAAATTGGGGGAATTGGACTTGTTTATATTAATGGAGATTTTTATGACTGTTCAGATATTTGCAGTGGCTGGGAGTGCAAGAGAAAACATGTTTTCTTGCAATACAGAGCACAGTTATTCCAGAGAAAAATCTAGAAGCTCTTTGTATTGCCCTCTCATTCATTTCCCCATCGTTGCTTTAAATCCCAGCCAGCTGAACCAAGGTATAGCATCCTTCCCTTTTGCACTAATCCAAGCTAGGAAAATGGATTTTTTTTGTGCTTTTCAGAGAAGTACAAGTCATAAAGCTTATTAGTAAGGGGACTATTGAAGAAACCATGCTAAAAATCAGCCAACAGAAACTGAAGTTAGAACAAGATATGACCGCAGCAGAATCAGGTAGGTGTCTTGCACATAATGATGTCCACTTAAGTAAATTAGAGCTGCAATATGTTACTCTGAAAAAACACAGTTCTTCATGCAGACAAGCCTTTTGTTGTTTGGGGTTTTTATATTAAACCAGAAAGATGTGTTTTTGCTGGTTGTTCTTTGATTTGACAGGAGGTGCCCTCTGAGTCTGACCCAGAAATCAGTGACCAAATCCTACAAGCAGAGGATTTTTTTACTGTTTTGGGGACACGGGCTTTTATCTGTTTATGCGAAATATTTTAAGCTGTACTAATGCTTCTCTTTATTCCTCAGGAGAAGAAGGAAGCATTCCAGCAGATATAGCCACACTATTAAAAGCTTCATTGGGTCTCTAAAATGTAAATATGTTGTGAAATTTAAGGAAGAAATGTGATTAATTATCCCAAGGACTCTTACATTACTGTTGACCAGAAGTTTTATGAATGTTTATAACTTTTTGTAGTTTCTTTATTGTATTGCTCATGTTATTGAAAATTTTTAACACCAATAGCATTTTTTGATGCTTAAAAGCATAAATGGCCTAAATGTGCCAACCTCAGATGCTGAATAAAGATTTTACAGATCAATTTTTAAAATGGGGACCTAAGTAGTAAATTGTTTTAACAAATCTGCTACTGCTTAAGATTTGTCAGTATTTTTGTAATTATTTCTACCTCCAAATATATATATATATATATATATAAACTGTCTGTTTCACTGGATTCCACGTGTAAATTTTTTTATATGTGCCTTATTTGACAATGCTCAAGTCTGTTTCTGCTTGTTTTGGTTCATTTGATGTACCGTACTGGTTTTGTATCAACTTGTTCCAATAAAATTCTATACATTGACAAAATGTTTTTGTGGTTGTGGTGATTTGGGGCAGGTGAGTGGATGATAATGTGCGTGTTAGAAATCAATTAGACAGCTCTCAAATCAGCTGGAATGTTCCAATTGAACTGACTTGGCTTTGTCCAGCAGTAATTAATTACCAGTGTGTCATTATACTCTAATTACAGTGGTGTGAGGATATTGATCATAAAAACAGAATTCCTGCCAAGTGGTTTGGTCAAGTCTATGAGTATTTTGGTCAACTGTGTATGATTTCTGCAAATTCAGAATGGGTGAGAAATTAAAGCTTTTCCTAAATGTGAACTAAACTGCTTGGCTTTTCCTGGATATGTTCTATGGCTGTGCTGTCTGTTCCAAAATGCACAACTGAAATAAGGTGAAGATGTACTGTATGGTTTGAGAAGGGATATGGGTAAGAATCAATTTTCTGTGCTTCTTTAATTCCACTGGTTCTGCTGAGCTACATAGTGGGATTTAACAAAGAACCACAGGTGTTTAATGCTACAGCTGATCAGGTTGTTTCTGTTGAGCATGATGCTGATCCAACTCTTATTCTATTGTACCTGCATGTTCTCACCTGCTTAGTTCAAATGTGGATTGAAATGAGATCCCTGCCCTCGTGTGGTGTTCTGGATGTGTGTGGGATCAGTTAATGCAGCCTGGAGAAGCAGTGGTTACCCCTGGGGTCAGTATCTGTCTTTAGGTGCTGTGGAACTCATGTGTTTCCACCTTTCTTCCTTGTAACTGTTTCTACTCTTTTTAGCTGGGAGTCTCAAGACACCTGGCTCCAGGTGGCCCTGTGTGAGCAGGAGCTTGGACCAGATGACCTCCTAATGTCCCTTCAACTATTCTATGGTTCTGTTTTTCTGACTGGGAAAGATGTACAGAGGGGAAAAAAAACCACAAAGCCACTCTCTAAGTCAGTTGCTGAAGAAGAGAGGAGTTTTGGGAGCTAAAGAAGGAAAAACGTATGAAGAGTCAGAGCAAAGCACACAAGGAGTTGCAAAGCGGGTGAAGATGGGAATGAGTAAAGGTTTCTTTCTGTTCTGACAGTAACCTGAGTTGTCTTAGGGGTTGTTTGGTGTCACTTATGATTCAAAGAAGTAATACTTGAGGTGGGAGGGGAAAGTAAATGTGAAGGGAAATACTTTCCCAACAGTGGTGATTTCCAGCAGGAATGTTATCCAAGTTTGTTGTAGTTTGTGTATTTACACCACACAATGGAGACCACTCACAAGCACTTGTCTCCCCTTGAGTTTGTGTAAACCACTTTGATCCACAGCCATCCACATTGCCAGGATTACCACCTGCCTTTTCTCCTGTCCTGGAAGAGCAAACCCTTCATTTGTTCTAAACCTGGTTGCCACCACCAACCCCCAGTTTGTGTCTCCTACTTATTGGTATAGATACTGTGCTGTTAAATGTTTTTGCAGGTGGTGTGTTTATGGGGAACTGGTGCTGGTGTGGGCACCAGCTCAGCTGTGCAACTGCTTTTGACTTGTTTTGGAGGTTTCTGTTTGGTTTTTTCGGGGGCACAGCATAAACCTCAAGCTTCTCAAACACTTTTTTCAAATCCTTGAATTTTATTGACTGAGTCTTTTTTTTTTTTTTTTTGTTTTTGCTTAGTGTCCCACACATTTGCCCTCTCCTTTTAAATTGCTTTCCTCAGACTGAAAGACTGCAATAGGCAAAATGTTGAGATTGCACCTCTCCATGATGATGCATTCACCTTTTCCCTTTGCGAGTGCACAAAACATTAATTGGTTTGATCAAGCACTGTGTTAGTAGAGGGGGAATGTGATTGAAACCACACTTCTGTGAATCAATATTTATTACTCTACTAAATCGATGTTTTAGATTCTCTTGCGAGTGGATACAAATACTAGATTTTGACTTGATACAGCATAGTCATCTGAAGTTAATTTAGATGATTCAGAAGTTAATAACTTAGGATGTTTGTCATATTGAAAACTAAACAAGAATTTGTTTCTCTGAGCAGCTGATCTACATTACACTCTTCGGCCTTTTCTGGATCCAGGCTGCAATAGCTGGCAGTGCTTGCACTCTCTCCCTGAGAGCCAAAAGCCTGGGGTATTTGTCTGCCAGGTCAGGCTTACAGGACAGAAGTGTTGTACTGCACACATCCCAGTAGAAATCAGCCCATGTTACCTAGTGGAAATGGGACAGAAAGCAGTAAATTTTAGTTGGTAATCTCAAAAGCCAGGATTACTAATATTCTCAAAAAATTCTAAATTTATCTGTTTTAAGCTTTAATTTTGGGGTTGGGGGTTTTTTTATAGCCCATTACAGCCCCAGCATTACAGGGCTAGTAGTTAGGTTGCAATGCAAAGCTTGACTTCAGTAAATATTGGTTCAAATCAAGTCCTGGCTACAAATATTAATTGTGCTACAATATTATTCTTTCCTGCTGAAACTGTGCTGCAGAAAACAGTTTGGGGTAAAAAGGGTACTATGTTTATATAGAGTCTGTTTCCATATTGCCTTAAAAATAAGTCAGTAACGATAAACAGGATTCCATGTAGTCATTAATTTGTGTTCACAAGTGCAAAAGCATTTTAAAATGTTTTGTGTCACCATACTTACAAACTGGTTTAGAAAATGCAGATCCTAGTCCTGGTTTGCCTAACTTTTCTAATATTGTGGAAAACAATTTTCACTTTGCAGTTGAGAGGCCAGTTGTGTATTGGTAAGAATAAAGGGCTCAAAGTGTGGGTAGAGTTCCTTGGGGGGGAGTTCCTTCATGGCCTGACATGAAATCCAGAAATTCAGCAGTAGTTCATTTCTTGATTTTTCTGGCAACCTACGTGAATGGGAGAAACAAAAATTATACTTACAGAATTCCCTACCAGCCACTTCTTGTCCCCTAAGAAAGTATCCAAATCTTTCAGTAGCTCAGGTGCTTTGTTGGTGAGGATATCATCAAATGCTTTTTTCTGTTGGAAGAGGAAAACACAGAGATTCAGTCAGCAAAATTGAATTTGAGGTTTTATTTTTTATGAAAAAGCTGAAATATGAAAAAGATTAGGGTTAGATGCCAAAACATGGCATTCATGGCTTGCTGAGCTATGACTTAAAGTCAATTCCTCCCTTAATGAGCACCTGAGTGCTCCTTGATGCTGATGTCTGTGGTGATGCTGCTCCATTTTCTGTGCTAACAGAAAAAGCACACAGCCATGGTAAGGCAGGAGCTCAGCTATAGATTTGGGAAGAATCCAACTACAAGATAGACTCCTAATGTCTCATAGCAATTTTTGGAGGGCTCTTCTGAATGTCAGCTTTTCTAGTGTGCAGAGTCTCCAGATGTCAAGAATCCCCTTCCATGCTGCCAGTCAGATGCTGGTCAGTTATCTTTGCTTATCAACCCTTCTTATGGGAGACATGGAACTTGGGTTTTGAGCTTTTTTGGTGGGGTTGATTAATCTTCCAACATTAATGTTCATGTTATTTTGCTTTTTTGTCTCCACAGTAGTAAGATGCGAGGTGGCTAAAATGTGTTTTTAAAGGCCTTAGTGTTTGTATGTTAATGGCTGAAGCATGAGATTATGGTGGTGGTTCTCTACAGGCTGCTCCCCATAGCAGAAAGTCTTAAGGCTGCTTCTGATTTTCTCTTTTTACCTGCATGGAAAGACTGCAGACTGCTGTGATCATCCGGTCAACCCACATGGCACAGTTTTGCAGTTACTGTGCTTGGCCTAATTTTGGAGGAACATGCTCAGGCTTGGGTAAATAAGCACTGGTGTGCAGGAATGGAATTATTTCTACAGCTTTAACTGAGGTTAATGTGAAAAAAGAAAATTAGAAGAGGCAGAAACCTAAATGCAGGCTGAAATCAAATCAGTGTTTCCACAGACATGATTGAATATTTGACATTTTCTGCTTTGTTAAGAGCTTTGTTAAGTAAGTGGATGAGGTGACTGCAAATACCAGTCGGGAGTTTGCAGTCCAGAAATCTTGTATCTGTGCCCTGGGTTGTAGTATTTACTTTCTTTTTGGTAAATGATCCCCTCCCCACTGTTTTACCCTGCAAAGAAAACCCCAAGCTTTTGTGTGATTGTGATGGTAACATTCCCCAGGTACACGAGAGTGCACCCAAATTGTGAAGCTGATGGGGACAACCAGGATCCCTCTTCTGGAGTGGCACAGCCTGCTCGTCTCAGCCCTGGAGCTCTGCAGCAGTGGGTGCAAAGCTTTGCAACCCAGCTGTGTTTTGGGGAAAGTGGGGTGACAGGGGAGGCTGTGCCTGGCACAGGGGGAGCTTCCACGGGCAGTTTCCAGCTCTGCTCCCCTAGTTTGCTTTGATTTCTCTTTGCTGCCGGCTCGGTGGTGTAACACATCCTCTCACCATTCCCCGGGTGTGTGTTCCTGTGAGCACTGGTCAGGCCTGGGGAGGTGTTTTGCCTTCAGTGCATGTAAATGACTTAAATCTGGTATGGTGGGACCGTGAGACGCCACTTCGACCACAAGGTGGTGGCAGCGGGTCCAGTCGGAGAGGGAGGACGGACAATGTTGGGAGCGTGGGAAAGTGGGATTCCTGAGCATCCTTGGCCCCAGCATATAATTTAGCATGCATACGTGCAGATTGGCACATATGGGTTGGCTGCCAGCTCTTCCCGTTTAGATTAATCACTGGTGACAAGATCCGAGTCCTTTTTTTTTGGAAAAGTGCTCGGGTGCATGTGGGAGTTACAACAGGAGCTTCCTAATAGTACATCAGCAGGAGCGTGGCTCTTCTGAAATGATTAAAACTCGAGTCAACTTACCCTCCCAAACTAGGAAACATAAGGAAATCACTAGGAAATGTAAGTAATTCACACTTTTAAGTACTAAACCTCCAAATTTCAGATTTTCCCCTGCAAGATTTCAGAGCACTTTCATAATGTTTCTTTATTTATTATGGATTTGGGACACCATTTTTTACTCTGTGGCCTCTACAATAAAATACCCTAAATTATCTGAAATTTTGTCTTTGAATAAATGGAAGGT